GCAATCTCTTATGTGTGACCAATGATTCTGTGTTGCTTTTCGTTGCAGGATTCCTAGCATGTTGATGAACCGCCACTGGATGCCTCTGAGTGGTAAGAGTGACTGCTGCGCCATTCTTTCTATCTTACAGAGACTTCCTTGATTTAGGCTAAGTCCCATGGAGAATCCAGGGGCAGATCCAGAGATTTCTATGGGGGGGGGGGGGGTCCAGTTTAGCCAAGACTGAACAGCTGATACACTGCGTAATGGTTTCCAGTAGTGCATTTGCAAAGTTTAGGGGTTTCCGTGGAAACGACTGGTTTTCAAGGGAGACTGTCGGCACATAAGACTGTTTTAGTGTTGACATATTTACACCGTATGTCCGCACCTTTAAAGCCATGGCGGTATATTCGATTATAAAGCCAGTCTCAGTTATAAAACCATGGGCTTCATAAATGAAATGACACTGAAGTTTGTTTTGCAAAAATGAAGGATTAAAGGGGAAGTTAAGGCAAAAATTAAAATTTCACCAGTTGTAGTCTTCGGGGTGCTGAGTCGAATGGTCGTGGTCCGAGGAAGCTGAGACGCTCCCTTCCTACTTGAATCCCAATCGAACTCGCGCACTTCCACCGAAACTGGGTGACTGCGCCCTACTAGATGGAGATTTGTATGCAAAATGTCACTAAAAGCGCCATTTCGTTCTTATAAAAGCACGGATGACCGCGATTGGCCCATATGTTGTAGTCTTTTGGACGCTGAGTCGACTGGTTTTGGTCCGAAAAGGCTGCGATGCGGCGTTCATCCTTTATTCCCAATCGAACATGGTTGAAGAAGCGGTCACGTGCTCCTGCGTACACCAGTCACCTGGTCACCGTTCCTGCAGGGTACAACTTACTAGCCTGTTTGACCTTTTTTGGCTGCAGTCCTGTCACTCGAGTTGAACTCGAGTTGAACCTTGGTGTGAAAGTTGTCACCTGCTGGCGTGGTGACCAGGTGATTTGGGCACCCAGGAGCACGTGACCGCTTCTTCAACCATGTTCGATTGGGAATAAAGGATGAACGCCGCATCGCAGCCTTTTCGGACCAAAACCAGTCGACTCAGCATCCAAAAGACTACAACATATGGGCCAATCGCGGTCATCCGTGCTTTTATAAGAACGAAATGGCGCTTTTAGTGACATTTTGCATACAAATCCCCATCTAGTAGGGCGCAGTCACCCAGTTTCGGTGGAAGTGCGCGAGTTCGATTGGGATTCAAGTAGGAAGGGAGCGTCTCAGCTTCCTCGGACCAAGACCATTCGACTCAGCACCCCGAAGACTACAACTGGTGAAATTTTAATTTTTGCCTTAACTTCCCCTTTAAGTACAATGCTAGAAACTTACTGCCCAGCAGGAAGGTGGAACAAGTAGATTTAGATTGAAATTTCTGCGTAGACTTTGACTTTTATGGCATGGCGTAGTGGGTGAGTCATTTTGCATCTAAAATATCTATAGGAAAGCAGCGGTGTTTTAACTAGAAGGCCATGGCTTTAAAATAAAGGCGCTGACACATGGTATGTACATAGAAATAACTGATTTGATTAGAAGCCTAGCGCTGACACCGGCTTCTACAGGACTAAGACCGGCTTTTTATTCGCGACAATGCATTGTGTGTGGTGTCTCAATAACTGCCTTGACTCTTCTGTATGGCTGAAGGCGCAATCGTATGACGCTTGGTGATATCTGTCACAAGTGATTGCTCAACCACTAATGTGTCAGTGCCCGTGTACGACAAACCATAGTTCTTACAGAACTCTAGATTTAATTATTACGGAGTCCAGCTTCTCACATGCTGGTAGCTCAGCGCATGGTCGTTTTCATGACGAGTCTAGCCCAGGACATGACACATGCATGTGCGCGCGTGTGTGTGCGTGTGTGTACGGGAGAGTGTGCGTGAGCGTGTGTGTCTGTGTTCAATCTTGTTGCCATCTTTTCAAGTTGTTCTCCAATGGTATTGTGTGTTTGTGCTTGTGCGTGCATAGTTCCTCCATGGGCTGCATCAGAGGTTGAGAACCACCACCAGAACATCTGGTCTGCATTTGGTTAGTCTTAGCCTAAGTGTACCCAATGGGTTGTATATGGTTGAAGAGTGAGGGAGCAGGAAAAGGTGTGCGAGATTACTGGGGTGCATATGGGGATGCAATACTCGTGAGCAGAGACATAACATTCGGTAGACATTGCCTTCGAAGCTTCTGCAGGAAGGTTGTAGACGATATCGTCTTCGCTCTTGTTTTTAGCTTTCCCTAATAGTGCTCATGTGTGTACGTGTGTACGTGTGTCTCACCCACTTATTGAGATGTGGTGAGCCCAGAAGTGGGATCATTTCCAAGTCCATCCAGAGTATGGAGATTTCAGGGCCCTGGGGGTGTCGGCCGTTCGGCGGTTCAATAGCCAATTGAGTCATCTTTCCAAGATTCCTTTGGAGTCTGTCTCCCCTCTCCCAAGGGGAGACCCACGTGACCAGCTATGGCAGTGAGCAAGTACAAGTGTGTGTGTGTCTGTGTGTGTCTGTGTGTGCATGCATTTGTGCGTATGTGTATAGAGTTCAAGCAGTGCGGAGCGCTGGAGGCAAGAGCAGCGACGGTATGTTCCTTCTCACGGCCGATTGTTCCCATGTCACACTGCATACTAGCCAGAAGCAGCACTGTGCTGCTCAATGAAATCCAGTCGCGGCGTCGCTCAAGTGCACGCCAGGCGTTGTGCAGCCCAAGCCCTGCAAACACTGGCCTGCGAAATGATGCAAGGCGTTAACTTGAGTGACGTGCGACTGGATTTCGCTGAGCAAGACTGTACTTGATTTACCCAATGCCAAAAGACCTTGTCGTTTTGTGATGGCTTGTACTAGAAGTTGTTTGCCAAGAGACAAACTTGCCATACGCTCAGACACACTATCGTTGACAAGGTCTTGGTGTACACTTTCTCTAGCTACTTTCTAATGTTCAGAAAATATATGCCAGAAAGTCGAGCAAGGGGCTGAATTGTTGGGTTGTCCAGAAACAAGGCTTGTAGCTCCTGGCAAATGTCATTGAATCATTGTATTCTCGGGTTTTTTGTACATGTACTTTTATTTTGAACTCGGATGGTGAGCCAATTAAATTATGGTGACGTTACGTTGGTGGACAGTTGGTCGTAACTCGTAACATTTTGTCCTTCTCCTTTTTCACCATACTTTTATTTTACTAGTATTTCTGTGTGAAGTCCACACCTGAAAGTTGAATGTACGTACGATTGTGTATTGTTGTGGTTGTTTTTGTTTTGTCAGAACTGGGAGATTACAGCACTGTGTCAGAAAGCATTTGAACAGTACCATGATGATCCTGGCAACTCGGATATGCTCTTCTACGGGGTACGTGCTCTCTCTCTCTCTCTCTCTCTCTCTCTCTCTCTCTCTCTCTCTCTCTCTCTCTCTCTCTCTCTCTCTCTCTCTCTCTCTCTCTCTCTCTCTCTCTCTCTCCCCCCCCCCCCCTGTAATCTCGGGAATGTTGATGGTTCATTTGGATTTGTCTTCATGATGCTATTTACATCAGTATGGTGTTCGCACACTGTATGTACTGCATGCAGTGGCAGACATGCTCAATAAAACCTGAACTTGCGGATACGCTTGCTGTGCGGCCACCCTTCTGTTGGTGCTGCTTGGATGTGCTCCGATACACGTCACTGATAGTTTCTTAACTGCCCGTTTCATCGTGTAGACCTGATAGAACCCACAGTACTCCTCGTAGACCCTGGCTGCTCTTGAGCTGTCCGAGGTGAATGCCGCATGTTTGAATCCCGTCACCTCTTGTTTGATGTATCATATCATCATGATCGTTCTTATTGTTGCCCCTGCTGCTGTTGTTGCCCCTGCTGCTGTTGTTGCCCCTGCTGCTGTTGTTGCCCCTGCTGCTGTTGTTGCCCCTGCTGCTGTTGTTGCCCCTGCTGCTGTTGTTGCCCCTGCTGCTGTTGTTGCCCCTGCTGCTGCTGTTGCCCCTGCTGCTGTTGTTGCCCCTGCTGCTGTTGTTGCCCCTGCTGCTGTTGTTGCCCCTGCTGCTGCTGTTGCCCCTGCTGCTGTTGTTGCCCCTGCTGCTGTTGTTGCCCCTGCTGCTGCTGTTGTTGCTGTTGCTGCTGCTGTTGTTGCTACTGCTGTTGTTGCTACTGCTGCTGCCGCTGCTGTTTTTGCTTTTTCGTCGGCGTTGTTGTTGTGTTGCTTTGTTCTGCACAGCTCTATATGCAGTTCTTGTCTTTAGTTGTGGAAGGTTCACAGCTGATGGTTGAAGGCAGCGTCAATGAAGTGTAGGTGTTTCCCGTGTGTGTGTGTGTGCATGTGCGCGCGCGCGTGTGTGTGTGTGTGCATGCGTGTGTGTGCGTGCGTGTGTGTGCGTGCGTGTGTGTGTGCATGCGCACATGTGTGTGTGTGTGTGTGTGTGTGTGTGTGTGTGTGTGTGTGTGTGTGTGTGTGTGTGTGTGTGTGTGTATGTGTGCATGTGTGTGTATGTGTGCATGTGTGTGTATGTGTGTGTATGTGTGCACATGTGTGTATGTGTGCACGTGTAGGCACCGGAATAGCAGATCAATTGTTTGTTTGCTTACAGTCTGTTTCAAAAAGATTAGCAATCAAGTTTGGGTCTTAAAAAGTATGAAGATAAGGGAAATTTGGACAACAAAGAACATAAAATGGCTTGTTAGGGCATGGCAAATTGTTCTGTTAAGGTTTCAGAACAATAGGACCAACCGTTAAGGAGTTAGAATTTCGGCCAGGTTTCTTGCCTTTTCCCATGGTTTATAATTTGCCCTGGAAGCCAGTATCGATTTGTTATCAAAACCCACGATTTATCCCTTCCTTTTTGGCCTTGTGGTTATGAATGCTGTCTGCTGACCAAGAAGTTGTGAGTTCAAATCCCAGCAAATCTTCAAGTCAAACATTTTTTCTTCATTTTTTCATTGTTTTGGTGATCACGCTTGGTACAATTTTTGTACAAGAGTCAAGACAAAAAAGTTGGCTGCGCCAAACGACTTGTTGTTGGAGCTTGCGTTTCCTGCCGAACTGACTGACACTTGACTGGCTCACGCCATGTGAAGTTGTGAACACACACAACACTGAAACCGTGTGAGTGAACACGGAAGTCACTGCGCTGTAGCTACGTGTTGTTGAATATACCGGCACATCGATCGATCGATTTCTGTTTGAGAATTATTTTAGTATTTCAAGATCGCCAATTTATTTGAATTTAGGAGTCAACACTGTCTTCTATCAGCTTTCACAGGCGTCTGCTTTTCTCAAAATGTCGTCGAAGTCACACGGATAGCTTTGCCACATCAAGGCCTTGGGAATGAGTCTGTGTCAATGTCGTTTTCGTCACATCGTGAGAGTAAATTGCATCCACGGCAGCTCAAAGAATCTATTTGGTCACAAAACGAATTGGGACGCATCCCGCTCGTCAAAATTTACCAGACTTTCGACATGTCCTCTCTGACTCCATATCGATACGAGGAAGAACTCGTTTGTTGTAAACCAGACGAACACAAAGTCATGTACGAGTACCGACGTCAGTGAGTTGTCATTTTTCATGCTTTCGCGCGGAATATTTCTTCGAGTTCACAGTGAGTTTTTCCAGGCAGCCCTCGAGCGCTCATACGGTAAGACGGCAAACTCCTCGGGCGATCGCCAGGATTGCTAATCTTTTTGAAACTGACTATAGTTGCTATTCGAGGAAGTGACGGTTGAACTTGTATCTCTGCACTTGATATCAATGACCGGTAGTTTGGTAGATATGATGCCGTGGTGCTGAGTACGCTCTCCACGCTGCATACTGTGAAACCTGTGTAAGGCGACTGCTCTAGGGACTGTGCTAATATGGTTCCTGTGTACAGGTGGTCTCCTTATCCAGGGTCATGTGACTAGAAATAGTGTCACAGACTCCTAGTTGCAGTAGTCTTCTGGGACAGGCGCCCGCCTTATCTGAGTGGTCGCCTTGACAGGGTATAACCGTAGTTAATTCACTGCTGCTGCTGCTGCTGTTCCCTGAGATGCCTTAATGATGATTTTCTCTATGCGTGCATGTTTTGTATTTGTTTGTTTGAATATGCGCTCGTGTGTGTGTGTGTGTGTGTGTGTGTGTACGTGTGGACGTGCATTCTCTACCGCATTCATTCTTGACTGCCCGCAGCTGTCCACTGAGTGGCCTCTGGGGCAACATTGTCTTTACATCTGTCGAGACCGACTGCGACACGTTTGAGCTGGAAGGTGGAGAGGCAGCTGCGTTTGCGTCAGCCGTAAGTTCCGCCAAAACTCGTTTTTATGTGCACGCAGACTATGCGAAGAGCTTGATTGCATCGTACAATACCTGCCTTATTTTTTTATTTATACATGATGGTGAAATCTACACATGTCTAGTGTGTATTCCGCTCTTTGCCTTTAGCAAATGGAGCCCTCCTACTACATGTGCTGCGGATTTTGGATGAACTTCACGCGGTGATGTTGAAATAATACTCCTTTCTCTGCGGCTTAGCGCTACTTGTTCAAAGCAGCCGTCGGAATCTGAAGCTCTCACAATCTGCGTAAAGTGTGCCCGTTTGCTTTTGCAGTTTCCCGAGAAGTAAGACGATGGTGAAACGTTTCGCAGGCAAGCTCAAGTCGGAAGCGCACGAATAGTCTGCACTTTCGAATACTTGAACAGGTTCATGTTCGTTATAGAATTCTGTATGCTTGTGGATGATGCAAACACCGTTTGATTACGCACGTGTCCTTGTTGGAGTCCACGGAATCCAATAGGCTGGTTGCCCGCTGACGGTGTGTGTGTGTGCACTACAAGATGACTTGTACTGTCGTGGACATTGATATACGATGGGATGACCGGGGCCGGCGCCCTTACTGCTTTAAGCGCATACCTGCACTGTAGTTCACATACACAGAGTCACTGTAAACATGGACCAGCAGTGCTCACGACTACAAGACCAGCGCCCCGTGGCTGCTTGACTTCTCAACGGATTTCAATGTCCGCTACAGTATTCGTACAAGCATACATGTATGACAATGACAGCATGTCACACGGCGGAGTACGTCCTCATACATGTATAACTATCGAGCAAGGCTTGCATACATCGTACAAACTTGTAGCAGGAATAATTGGCGTTGCACAGTTTAACCCTTTCACTGCCAGCTGACCACTCAAGGTGACAAGGCGCTCCCTGCCAGGCTGTCAGCTGAGCTGTACACCCCCTCCCTGCCAGGCACTTTTTGCCTCCAGCTCGAAAAATCGAAAGGCCAACTTCTCATGGATTTTTTGGTACTTCCTGTACGGAATATCGCTTTCCAAAGTATACATCGTAGGTAGACAACTCATAAAGGAAGCCATTGCCGTCGAAAAAAATCGCAAAATCCGAAGTACAAACATGCTGCGCGCTCTAGCGCCAGCCGCTGTGCAAAAATGCATGTCATGTCATGCGAAAGTGCGCCGTGCGCCACATGCGCTACATACACTATGTACACGATCGGCCCGGACACTCGCGAAGTAAAGTTAGTTGTTGTTGTTTTGGAGAGAGAAGCAGATCCTTTTTTTGTTAGCTGGGATTGAAAGATCTGCCAGTGGACCGGAGAGCTACAACACTGAAAGCAGAAGAGATGGCGTGCGGAATGTTCTCTGTCTTCGTGGCAACAGGACTTCAGTTGCGAGAGACTTTCGTCCTGTTGTTGCGGACGAAATTCTAGTTGCTGCCACCAGAAAACTCGGAGAACGAAACGATCGTAAGTCGTTTGGTGAAGCGGGTCGTGTCGGTGAACAGCTGCGGAATGTTCTGCCGCCATGGTGGTCGTTTGTTCTCCCGATTAGCAGCAGTCCGAATACATTTCGACTTCGGAGAGTGAAGCGCTTCCCTGTTCCGTTGACAAGCGCGGCGTTCGCGGGTGTAATGCACTTTCGCATCAGCTTGCAGTAGATCGTCAGGTATTGAGCCTGAGGTAGGTGTCGTTGTAGAAAGAATATAATTATGTTGTAGCTGACATACCTGTAGTGTCTCTTGACTGTGCTGGTCGTCATTGTAACGTGGTAGTTCTTAGAAAATTTTAGTTCTGGACTCAGTGAGCGCCGCCAGCGCTGTTTCCGCCAAGTTTGCAGTGAATGCGTCCGTGAGGAATCCGTCGTGTGGTTGTCTCTACCCGTGACTCCAACCGCCTATCGCAATGGATAGCCGCCTGGAGTCTTGGGCAATGGCTAGGCATCAAGTCTGAACCAAATGTCATGCTCCTTGCAATGAAAGTTGACGGGAAAGAGAAAAAAACTGGCACCGACTCAGCAAGGTGGAAGTGCGTGAGAACCGATTTCTTCCGCGCCGCTCGGCTAAAAATCAGATGCGCATTTTCAACGACGCTGGTTCGATTTTTTTCAAATGGCAACCCATGCTTCTGGCAGCGTATTTCGATGGGTATGGACCTCTTCTAGGGCCTAGTGGCCCTCTACCACGGCTAAACATCTCCAATATTCAAAAATAGCGGCCCAAACTGGGTGAAGTCTGCCTGTCGACAAAAGTCGACGGTGGCACTGGGGACTGCATGTTTGCTTGTCGACTTTCGTCGACAGTGGCACTCAGAGTGCATGAATGCGCTGTCAACTTTCGTCGACAGTGGCAGTGAAAGGGTTAAGGTCTGCATGGCACCAAACATGGCTTGAGAGTGCCCATTCCATATTAAATATTGTTGTTTGCATCTCGCTGCTTGTTGCCTGTGTTGACCTGAACAGAGACTGGAGGTGCGCGGTCAGGAGCTTGTCTGGAATGTTCTTCGCAAGAACAGAACCGAGAAGAAAGTATGTGTGTCGTCGTATACCGTGCATGATTCCGTGTGTGTGTGTGTGTGTGTCTGTGCTTGTGTATGCGTGTTCTTGAATGTCGGTACACTTGAAGGGGTGAGGTTACCCGGTTTGCTGTGAGGCTAGTTTTCGAATAGGCTGCTCTTTCACGAATTCCGTAAACCAGGTCGTTTTCGCTGTGGTCTTGCTGGAATTCTTGTGAAACCTGGCTGTTTCCTGATGGATTTTTTCTCTCCCTGTGATGTGGTGTAGGTCTTGCCCATGGCACCACAGGTTTGCATTGACTACCGAGGTCATCGTCTTGTTGCGCAAACTCTCATTCCCGGTTAGTTCATTGTTTGTGTCGTGGCCCAGTTTAAACTATTGACTACAGGGGACTATTGCATGGACAGCATCTCTCTCAATGCTACACTCTGTCAGACTCTCTATAACACGCAGCTGTATGCTCTATGCACAGCGCTTCACTCCAAGTCAAACACTTATTACACACACGTCAATAATACTTCGAAAGTTATTGCTTCAATTGTTTGCAGCTGTATTATCTCTGTGCTCTCCATCTTTGCTGCTCGCATGAAAGTCCCTTCTTGTCTCCTTTGCATTTTGCATTTTACAGATTAATATGTACAACTCTCTATGCCCACCCAGAAATTCAGCTTTCGCACGTGCGCATACACACACACACACACACACACACACACACACACACACACACACACACACACACTTGTACTTGTACTTGTTGCTCACTGCCAAAACTGGTCACGTGGGTCTCCCCGGAAGAGGGGAGAGAGACTCAAAAGGAATCTTGGAAAGATGACTCAACTGGCTATTGAACCGCCCAACGGCCGACACCCCCTGAAATCCCCAAAACTCTGGGTGGACTTGAAAATGATCCCACTTATGGGCTCACCACACCTCAGTAAGTGGGTGAGGACAAGGTGCAGAAAAAGGATTGACGGCATCAGGGTATCCGTCCAGGGATCCAACTGCAGTTACCCCTGCCCCCAGTGAAGGTAATACTTGCTACTAGTGTGGGTGGCTAAATCAGAGTGGATCTGATCTAAGCGTCACTAGCATCATTGATTACACAAGAGTTAATCTAGCCAGAAGCAGTCCATGGTTAACAGGTATGTATACTTCAAATAGAAAGTATACGAACCCTGAAACCAACAAAGGTGGCAGATACAACAATACACCTTCAAGCAGCCGAGCCTGTTGGCAACAGACCCAACACAATCAGGCATAAGTGTACCCACCAACCGGACTAGCTGGCACACACACACACACATACATACACACACTTGTACTTGTACTTGTACTTACTTGTTGCTCACTGCCAAAACTGGGCACGTGGGTCTCTCCGGGAGAGGGGAGAGAGAGAGACACACACACACACACACACACACGTGGGTTTTTGTTTCACAAAAGGAAGCAATATCGTGTGTATTTGTTTGTTTCACCAGGTCTTCTCGATCAGGACTTTGGGGACGATTTCCACAAGTTTGTTTTGCACGGCTTCACGAAGACCAAGGAAACTCAAGCCCTCGCCTGGAGCCAGGAGGCGTTCGAATCTGTATGTTTCTGTTTTGTGTGCTTGCCCAGTCCAATGGTACAGTCAACTTCGCTAATAACGACTGCGGATATAACGACAATTCGCGAATAACGACAGAATTTACATGCCCAGAGCAAAGTCCCATCTACCTGTATACATATAATGAGACTTCGGGTAAACGGACCCTATTCTGAAGCCCAGCCGAGTGTCGTTATACGCAAAGTTGACTGTACAGATAGCATTGAGACTCGATGAAAATGTTCATCTCACACTTTGTGCTGGTGGCTTTCTGGGGATTATGCACTGCAGTCTTCAGTCCTGTGCCTTTCCTGGGCCGAGATGTGTAGTGCTTTTGACAGTCTGTTATAAAATAACGGCCGTGCCTTTTTGTTGGTCCTGCATTCACTTGTTGTGTGGTTTATCTTGTGATATTGGCATCTCGTGCATGTCTATGCACTGCAAAGAGTAGGTTCCCTTTGTCAGCGGAGAGGGCTCAACACAATCACGCCTGAGCACTATTAGTATTACACCGACATACTCCTTAACCCTCCTTTGTGCCTTTGGGATACTGTATGCCCTGTACAGTACAGTGGAGCACTATCACACCGACATGCTCCCTGAACCTCCATTGTGCCTTGTGTGTGTGTGTGTGTGTGTGTGTGTGTGTGTGTGTGTGTGTGTGTGTGTGTGTGTGTGCCCTGCACAGTTGTCCAAGATTCAAGACGACATGCTCAGCAAACCACACAAGTTGTTTGACCAAGACGGCGAAGTGCATGAGTACAACACTTCCTCGTTTGTCAAGGTGAGCTGAGCACCCGTAGGAACGCCACCACTAGGATAGGGTTTGGGAAAGAAGAAAAAATTACAACGTATCTCTATGAATCAGAGCTATAAAAATATGAATGCCGCAGACATCACCACACAACATGACAACTTGTGAAAAACTTATGCGTTCTTATTTCCAGACTCGATTTTCCAGTTCCGTCGTCAGTGGAAAGTACGGAACCGGAGTCACGAATTGATAAAGCAAGGGGGAAACCATTTAGGTGAAAAGTGGATGACGTCAGCAGAAGAGACCGTATTTGGAATGTTTGCGTTGAAGTATCCCAATGTGCAATGTGGAAAGTAATCGTGTAGAAAAGATGCTGGGATGTAATTTCTTATCTTCATCATGATCTTGAATTCACCATGAGGAAAACAAGGAGTGAAAACGCAGGCGAGGCCACGGCCATACAAGCACAAAGTGTTGAAGGGGAAGTTAAGGCTAAAATCAAAATTTCACCAGTTGTAGTCTTCGGGGTGCTGAGTCGAATGGTCGTGGTCCGAGGAAGCTGAGACGCTCCCTTCCTACTTTAATCCCAATCGAACTCGCGCACTTCCACCGAAACTGGTTGACTGCGCCCTACTAGATGGGGATTTGTATGCAAAATGTCACTAAAAGCACCATTTCGTTCTTATAAAAGCACGGATGACCGCGATTGGCCCATATGTTGTAGTCTTTTGGACGCTGAATCTACTGGTTTTGGTCCGAGAAAGCTGCGATGCAGCGTTCTTCCTTTATTCCCAATCGAACATGGTTGAACAAACGGTCATGTGCCCCTGCGTGCCCAAGTCACCTGGTCACAGCGCCAGAAGCCGACAGCTTTCACACCAAGGTTCAACTCGAGTTCAACTCGAGTGACAGGACTGCACCCAAAAAAGGTCAAAACAGGCTGTAAGTTGTACCCTGCAGGCACGGTGACTGGTGTTCGCAGGAGCACGTGACCGCTTGTTCAAGCATGTTCGATTGGGAATAAGGGCCGAACACTGCATTGCAGCCTTTTCAGACCAAAACCAGTTGACTCAGCGTCCAAAAGACCTTATTGACATTGCTGCTTGTTGAAGACTGTTCAGGTTGTCAGTTGTAGGTTTATCATGTATGTGTGTGTGTGTGTGTGTGTGTGTGTGTGTGTGTGTGTGTGTGTGTGTGTGTGTGTGTGTGTGTGTGTGCACGTGTGTGTGTGCACGTGTGTGTGTGCACGTGTGTGTGTGCACGTGTGTGTGTGTGCACATGTGTGTGTGCACGTGTGTGTGTGTGCACATGTGTGTGTGTGTGTGTGCACGTGTGTGTGTGTGCACGTGTGTGTGTGTGCACGTGTGTGTACACGTGTGTGTGTGTGCACGTGTGTGCATGTTTGTGTGTGTGTGGATCATTGTATGTGCATGTGTGTTTCCCCGCTCCGTGTGGGCTGTTTGTATCGTTTGGCAGAGCATGGCAGGCTCGGACGGTCGCAAGTACTTCTTTGAGTTCACACGGTCTTGTCCGGTTGATGCCAACTTTGTGGACAGTAAGTTTATTTTCTCCCTCTTTCTGTTCTTTTCTTGTGCTGCAAATTGGCTCCTTTATAGAATCTCTTTTGTTGATATACAATCATGTAGTGTCCATGAACCTGGTGAACAGTTGCCATAGTGCTGGGGACAGTGGGCCACAGGGGGCTGGGGACAGTTGGCTAGGGACAGTGGGCTAGGGACAGTGGGCTAGGGACAGTGGGCTAGGGACAGTGGGCCACAGGGGGTGGGGACAGTGGGCCACAGGGGGTGGGGACAGTGGGCCACAGGGGCTGGGGACAGTGGGCCACAGGGGCTGGGGACAGTGGGCCACAGGGGCTGGGGACAGTGGGCCACAGGGGCTGGGGGCTAGGGACAGTGGGCCTCCAGCAAAGAGCTGCTTGCCCTGGTTTGCCTGCAAACCACCCTGGCCCTTGCTTCATGCTTTTTTGTTTGTTCTTGTTTGTTTTTTCATACATGCCACAATGAGTGTGATCATGTTCAAGTTCCGTCCCCTCACTGGTTGTATCTGGATGATGAGGCGTGTTCTTTGGGACCTCGAGAGTTTTATATTCAGTGTCCGAAAAATCGAGGTGCACTTGTCAGCATTTGTGGAGGAGCTGTGAACTGAAGGCAGGAGCTGTGAGTTGAAGGCAGGAGCTTTACCTTCACTGAATATAGGGCTGGTTGGAAGTTGTCCGTGTCCTATTTTCCTTGCTCCTTTTGCCGACATGATTGTGTGTAGCATGCTGTATGCAGAGCTTGTGTGAGCTGACTTGGGTTTGGCTGTGTCTGTGTTCTTCTTCGTTTCTAGTTCACGAAGGAGACGACGAGGAAAAGAGCAAGAAGGTGCCGAAAATGCCCCACAAGCTGTTCTTCCTGCGCCCGGAGCTCGTGTCTGACTTCATTACGTAAGCACTCTACTTCTTTAGGTGCTGCATCTGCTACCCTGGTATAATCAGGCATGGGGTGGTGGCCTGGCACGAGCGAAACTTCCTAAGCTGGGCGTGTTTCTCAACACACTTGTATAGCCGGTGGTACCGCAGACGTGAAAACTATACTTTACAGTTTACCCTTCTGTAGTAGAGTATTCAAAAGTCCATCATCCTGAGTACCGTAAAGTCTTGTATAAAAGCCGCACTTGTATAGAAGCCGCCCTCGAATAGAAGCCACAATTTCGGGCCCATCAAATCACACATAAGCCTGGTTTTAGTGTTGACATACATAGAAATACCTGTCTTGTATAGATGCCTGTCTCATATAGAAGCCTGCAAATTTTCACCAAGAAAGTCATAGAAGCCGCGGCTTTTATACAAGACTTTACGTTATGTAATGGTCATCTTGGGCTACACGTACTTCCCAGCACGCTGCCTTCCGCCGCGCTAACAGTATCTGTACTCTTGCCCATACCCATAGGTTGGCATGTTGTACTGGTGAAGAGTTTTTCTTCAAATTATACCTCCATCCTGAAATGGTTGTGCATCTGGAAAAGTAAGAGAAAGTCAGTCTCGCAAACAAGCTGCAACATGCTGTATAGGCTGAGGGTATGCTGTGTACACTTTGGAGACCGTTTCAAGCACTCAACTCGCAAGTTAGCGCTTCAAACTATGGAGTAGGAATGTTCAAACGGGTCTACTGATGCACTCGTTTCTCATATTGCTGTTCGTGTGTGTGTGCGTGTGGATGTGCGTTCTGTCTTCCAGCTGTCGGCGCTGGGCTTTCCTGAAGGTGGCATACAACCTCTTTGATGAGGTAAGGGCTGCTTGTTAAGCGTTGTCCATGTGCAATGTTTGCTATGTGTCTCTGCACTGCACGCGTGCGTGTGCCCACACACGCATGCGCGCGCACACGCGCACACACACACACACACACACAAAGCCACCCTCTCTATCTCTCCATTCTTCCGCTCTCTGGTCTCTGCTTTGGCCACAATGTCACTACTAGTATTTCTTATACGGCTTTACTCTACACATGTCTGTTGTTTCAGGAATACGGCAACTCCAAGAAAGCTGCTGATAGTGAAGCAGCTGCTGCCGCTGCCACTGCTTCCACTAACTCCGTGCAAACACAGGGTGAAGCTAGCCAAGGTTTGTGACAATTACAACCTCAGATCTATTCTTCATGTACTCTTGATCTGTGTACTCTGGTTGTCTGTTTGTCTTGGGCTGAAGGCATCAACTCAACCCATACTTATGTCCAGTGTGGTGTGCCATGGCAAAAGGAAGTTTGGAGAACAGATAGAGTGTAGACCGCGCGTGTGTGTGTGTGTGTGTGTGTGCGTGTGTGTGTGTGTGTTTGTTATTTAACCCTTTCAGCACGGCCAGGGTGTGTAACTGACCCGCGGAGCCAAAACCAGTGATTTTCGTGATTTTCCAAAAGTAGTCCTATTCACTCACAATTTTTTCTGCGGAATGCAACATTCGCACGCGACATCTATGTACTAGTACGCGTGCATAGCGGCACACGTGCGCCCGTCAGTACCGTAAAGTACCGTTGATCCGCCCCCTCTCTAATTCCCGCCCCCTGTCGATTTTCTCCTTGTGAAGCGACTTCGGCGTATACAACGAAATACGATGTTGAACCGACGCATACACTGCTGTACACAATACTTGCCAATCCAGGATCAAAATGTGCACAATCCAGCACATTGAGACTGATCCTCTACGTTGTTGTACATCGTACTGCACTTGACAGCCTTGATCTAATTCCCGCCCCCTGCCGAAAACCCAGCTGGGAAGCGACATGGCGTGGGGGCGGATCAACGGTACTTTACGGTACTATCGTAGAACAGTCGACGTTCATCCAGCACGTCACTGGTCCACGTAGGGATAAGATCCGTCGACCACGGATGTCTCGGGAGTACGTTCATTTTCACTGTACGCATCACGTATATATACGTGATCCGTGGGCCAGTTACATGTACCATCACGTACATATACGTGATGCGTGCTGAAAGGGTTAAATAACTCCAATTTCACTTCAAGGTACCAGTGCATCTAGTGTCTGCTTTTATCAAAGCAGCGTGCTGTCTATACTAGTTACCCCAGCAAGTGTAGGGTGTGCATAGGTAGCTGTCTTGGCCGTCCTATTCCGATGTACTCCGTGTGGTGTAGACCAGGTGTGCATCGGTGGTCGATTCACATGGCTTCGCCAGTTGTGTGGATTAGACAGTTATCTGGCGCTTGTCTTGATCTGTTTCAATCAGAATCAGATCCGCTATCGTTGCTATAAAGAGAAAATCTGTGGGTGCACATCCAGTGCATTTGCAGATTTGCGTGCTTCTCTTGCGACGGGCGTTTACATGGTACATGGTGTGTGTGTATGTGTATGGTTGCATGTGTTTACATGGTACATGGTGTGTGTGTATGTGTATGGTTGCATGTGTTTACATGGTACATGGTGTGTGTGTATGTGTATGGTTGCATGTGTTTACATGGTACATGGTGTGTGTGTGTATGTGTATGGTTGCATGTGTTTACATGGTACATGGTGTGTGTGTGTATGTGTATGGTTGCATGTGTTTACATGGTACATGGTGTGTGTGTATGTGTATGGTTGCATGTGTTTACATGGTACATGGTGTGTGTGTATGTGTATGGTTGCATGTGTTTACATGGTACATGGTGTGTGTGTATGTGTATGGTTGCATGTGTTTACATGGTACATGGTGTGTGTGTATGTGTATGGTTGCATGTGTTTACATGGTACATGGTGTGTGTGTATGTGTATGGTTGCATGTGTTTACATGGTACATGGTGTGTGTGTATGTGTATGGTTGCATGTGTTTACATGGTACATGGTGTGTGTGTATGTGTATGGTTGCATGTGTTTACATGGTACATGGTGTGTGTGTATGTGTATGGTTGCATGTGTTTACATGGTACATGGTGTGTGTGTATGTGTATGGTTGCATGTGTTTACATGGTACATGGTGTGTGTGTATGTGTATGGTTGCATGTGTTTACATGGTACATGGTGTGTGTGTATGTGTATGGTTGCATGTGTTTACATGGTACATGGTGTGTGTGTATGTGTATGGTTGCATGTGTTTACATGGTACATGGTGTGTGTGTATGTGTATGGTTGCATGTGTTTACATGGTACATGGTGTGTGTGTATGTGTATGGTTGCATGTGTTTACATGGTACATGGTGTGTGTGTATGTGTATGGTTGCATGTGTTTACATGTACCTACATTCACCTCTTCTTGTTTCTGTGCGTGCTTGTGGGTGTGTGTGTGTGGGTGTGTGGGTGGGTGTGTGCATGCATGTATGTATGTGTGTCTGTGTGCATGCATGTATGTATGTGTGCCTGTGTGCATCCGTGTGTGTGCATGTATGTATGTGTGTCTGTGTGCATGTGCGTGTATATGCACAGCTGACGACACCACTGACTCGTCCTCCCGCACCAGCGACTCCGGCATCAGCGAGGGCAGCAATGGCGCCCAGGTATCCGACAACGTTCGCTCTCTCGTTCAGGAGCTGAACTCCGGCGTGAGCCGCGAAGCCAGCGACCTGCTCTCTCGCGGCAGCCGCGCAGCCAACATGCAGACAATGGACGACAAGATCTTCTCGGCAATGGCTGCAGCCATGGCTAACAACACACCTTACAGACATGCCTCTGCTGCTGCTGCCACCGCCGCCGCCTCGGCTAACTCTGCCGATGGAGAGCAGGACGAGCAGACGAAAACTGCCGAAGAGTGTGAGTGGAATACATTGGAGCCACTGGCATTCGCACTATTTGATCAATGTAGAATGTACCGGTACCAAGAGTATATATCCCCCAAGAGTGTGCAACTCCTGATACCCTTTCTATGGGGTACGCCGATGGCGAAAACTCACATCACATGGTGCAGCGTCCCAGTTGTACGTTCCAGCCCATTTTTAGCGAGCAGTGGAGTAATAATAAAAGCACTCCCTGGCAGCAATTCACTGCGGTTATGCAACTCGCCAGCATAATCATGGCAGGTTTTCGGATTGCGCGCACGCTATCCTTAGTTGTGCGTTGTACAAACCATACCTGAGACACGTGATGTGAGTTTTCGGCGTCGAAGACCCGTATGCGGAGGTGCACACTCTTGGGAGCTTATTTACTCTTGCCGGCGCATGTATGTGAGAGGCGGATGACCCTGACTTGGTGAAAGTGATTGTTCTCTGGTCTTCACCCGCTGTGTTGCCAGAATTTGCTATGTCGTGTGAGTGTTGTGCGTGTGAGCACTGGGCATTAAGCGCCCTTGGTGAAAACTGTTGCACAGGAAGGATCCACGGGCGGGATTCCAACCCATCACCCATGTCTTAAGTATCCACGGGCGGGATTCCAACCCATCACCCCTGTCTTACTGGGACAGTGCCTTGCCGATTAGGCCACCGGGAATCACGCTCACACACATACGCACCTGTGGCTCCGTCTTGCTGCAATGCTGCCCCGCCCCACCAGGTTGTGTCCTCACATCATACCTACTTTGTATTTTTATTTATGGATTCTCCACAGGGCTTCGCCTAAATCGAGGGAGTCTTGCGGGGGGGGGGGGGGGGGGGGGGGATGCAATGGGTGCCATTTCCATATGCCAGAACTGTATATTGGAGTTACACACTCTTGGCTAAACTACAAGTTACTTGACTATGTTGGTGGTGTCTGTGTGTGTTTGTGTTGTCGTCTTTAGTCGCTCAGAAAATTATCAGCAAAGCGGCACGTCTCGTCGGATCCTACGATGAAGAGAGTAAGTGCCTGCTTTCTTTCTCCACATGCGCACACCTGTGTGTGTGGGGGGGGGGGGGGCGTGCGTGTGTGTGTGTGCGCGAGTGCGTGTGGTTGGTTGCGCGGGCCTTGGCATGTGTGAATGTTGGCATACCTAGTCTGGAGCCTAAATCAGTACAACAGTGGAGAGTGGTTGATCTCAACTTTGATCTTCATGCACCCGGTAATGGTCAGGTAGCGTCAAGATTTGTTTGTTTTGTGTTTCGTTGTCTCTCCAGCGTACCGCATTGGCTTCAACTTGGACATTGGTAATCCATATGCTAAGCATGCAGACGAGAAGGTAATCACGATTTCAGGACTATTGACTTGTGTATTCGCAAGGTAGTACAGTCTGACCTCGCCCACATCCGTTTTCCACAAACTTATCCGGATAGGCGAGGGAACCGGATAATCAAACACGCATACTGTATGTATGCATGTCATATGCTGTAACTCGGTAACCAACGATTTTCTTCCGGATGGCAAGGGATCCGGATAAAAGAGGACCGGATAAGCGAGGTCTGACTGTAGAATCTATGCAGGTACAATGCACGTCGACGTGTTGAGTCTGAGCTGATGGGACTGCAGTGGCGATTACTGCCGATTAGTGTTCTGTGCACACATTGGTAAAACAAGGAAGTGAAATGGGGATGGTCTAGTCTGAATGTTGTCAACAGTGATTCTGAGGTCTTTTGATTGTTTACATGAGAAAACAAGATTTGGGTGGGCTTACGATAAGCCTGGGGACCGATACGCACATGTCAACAGGTCCTTGTTTGAGTGAGCTTAGCATAACATGGGTGAACACACCTACTAGTATTCTAAAAACATGTCCATGTGTGTGTTTGCATGTGTGTGTGTGTGCGTGTGTGTGTACGTGTGTGTGCCTGTGTGTGTGCGTGTGTGCTTGCGCACAGGAATCTCTCATGGCTGATCGTCAAATGGTCGAGGCTGCTTCCTTGTTCTTAGTGAACACCGTCTTGCTGAAGTTGGTGATTGACGTCACACAGCTAGTTTTCAGTGCTGTTGACAGCGTCTCTCTCCGAGACTGTATGCACAAACGGTACGCTGTGTGCTCTTGCTCCTGGTTATGTGCCCGTCTGTCTTGTCTGGTTTGTTTGTTTGTGTGTGTGTGTGTGTGTGTGTGTGTGTGTGTGTGTTGTGTGGATGCCCCCGCCTCCCACTTGTTTCCTCTCCTGTGACAGCTTTGCATCATACCGGCCCCTTCACTTTTCATAATGCTACTAGTTTTTATTCATTAGTCGAGGGTATTGAATTTTATGTGTTGCTGCTGCTGCTGCTCTTGTTTCACTGTCCTGTTTCTTTTTTTGCTCAGTGGTGTGAACATGCGTTACCTTGGCAACCTGGCTTCTTGTGCAGCAGAGAGACCAGAACTGTGGTATATCAAGGTAAGCGCAACAAAGTTCTCCTTTTGTTTGTCTCTCAGAAGCCCTTCAGCCGATGCTCCCCTCTCAAGACAGCCTCGAAGATAACAAGGATGTGGCCGGCAGTGGTATCTGCCTCACTGTGCCGCTCTACTCATCCCATGCCATTGGCCAAGATCACGAGTGACTAAATGCAAATCCTTGGCATGGCAATTCTGGCAGTCCCTATTTACAAATGGACCCTAAAGATGGGAAATGAAGAAAGTTCCGAGAAGGATAAATTTAAGATATTGATGCTTTGTCCTATGAACTATAATTATGTTTGTGAAATGGTGCCGCTCACACTGCGTAACAAGTATGTGCCTCGAAGCCAAACATATCCGGCAGATATTGAATCCGTTGTCGTTTGCATTCCTCGTGTGCGTGTGTGTGTGTGTGTTTGTGGACATGCATGCTTGATTGCATAAATTGTGTTCATGCTTGACTTTGGTTTCCTGCATATGCACGTTGATGGCTCTCCGTGTTGCCCTTGCTGTCTGTAGAAACTCTGCATCAGCGACATCATCATGAGAAGCCTGAAGCACATTGCTCGCTCCTACCTGCGCCGCAGTAAGTACTAGTGGCAGAAAGCGGTGCTGTGCGGTAGAAACCATGACAGCGTGGAACGTATTTCCCAGAATATATGTAGCACTCAGTAGTCCCAGCTCTCTATAATTATGTGTTCACTCCTCTCATCACCTGTTTACTTCGTGCCTATATGGCTTCACTGCGACTTTCTCTATAGAACTCCAGGTCATTCTCTATATAACTCCAGACGCGACTTTCCCTATATATCTCCACTCAGGTTGAGACTTTCGCACCTTTTCACACTTACTGACTTCCTGTATTGTTTTGTATAAAACCCTACCCAGTTGACTAGTTCTTCTGCTTTCGTCACGTATGGTGTCGTCCGTTGACCGGCTTTGTCTGTTTTCTGCTCTGCGTCCTCCCAGTTCCCAACCCATCCTTTCCGTTCGCAATGTCTCACTTCCTGAACTGTTTCTTGGTAAGTGTGCTGTCGCCACGGTAATACCTTGCTCAGGTGCCTCTGTGTTTGACTGTGTCCGAGTGTGCTGTGCGGCTGGTGAAATCACTGTCTGTGCTGTGTTTGACTGTGTCTGAGTGTGCTGTGTGGCTGGTGAAATCACTGTCTGTGCTGTGTTTGACTTGGTCTGAGTGTGCTGTGTGGCTGGTGAAATCACTGCCTGGAAGGTCTTCACTATCATCAGCCCATCTCACGTCGTTATCAGTGACTTTTCTCTGGTTCATTTTGACCAGGCTGATGTGTAATGTAGTAATACAAATCAAGTGTAGAAATCAGTAGAGTGCTGTTCTCCTAACTGTTTTCTTTTCTCACCATGTTCACCATTGTTCTTGTTCTTGTTGATTGTTTCTGTTTGTAGAGCAATGCATCGAACATCAAGGCACCGAAGGCACCTGCAGTGGTCAGTATTACGTTTTCTTTATCTCTGTTCTGCCTCATCTATTGTTTGCTTTGTTGGCACTGCTGTCAGATTTGTCTACTTCTGCGTGTATGCCTCTCTGTCTCCTGTTTCACTGTATCTCTCTCTCTCTCTCTCTCTCTCTCTCTCTCTCTCTCTCTCTCTCTATCTATCTATCTATCTATCTACACAGTTGTCTAAAGTCCCTAGGCTGCTTACAGTGCTCAATGTCCAGTGGACAGAGCCAGTAATACAAATATTACACAGCAATGAATCAAACAAGTCTCTTTCCGCTGTTACTCCGAGTTTCGTGTCGAAACACTTCATATGCTGTCTGATGAAGTGTTTTGACACGAAACTTGGAGTAACAGCGGAAAGAGACTTGTTTGATTCATTGCTGTGTAATATTTGTATCTATCTATCTATCTCACTCACTCACTCACTCACTCTCTCTTTCTCTCTCTATCTCTCTATCTATCTCTCTATCTATCTCTATCTCTCTATCTATCTATCTATCTATCTCTCTCTTTCTCTCTCTCTCTCTCTCTCTCTCTCTCTCTCTCTCTCTCTCTCTATCTCTCTCTCTCTATCTCTCTCTCTCCTGCTTCTTCTACTTCCCTATTGTTTATTGGTGTGCCTTGGAAGGGTTTGAATGTGGTACTGTTAGCTCAGTGTGTGTTCCGTGTGATGTCATACTCTCATCATGTTGTAATGTGTGCCGGTATATGATGCTCAGTGCCTCTTCCAGCATAGTGTCATCTTGTGTGGACTGAGGTGCTATGCTCTCTTTGTAACTTGTATGACATCATATATTCTAATGCCATGATGTCATCGTGTCTGTGTGTATCTGTGTGTGCAGTTTGCTCATGCAGCTACCAACCAGACGAGGAAGAACAAGAAGAAGAAGGGAGGCAAGCACAGCAGCTCTTCCAACTCACACTCTCATCAGAACAGCAGCGCTGCAGCAGCAGCAGCAGCCACAACAGGTTCCAGCACTGCCGATTGTGATGCTGGTAAGAAACACACGAAGGTGTGGGTGTGGGTGTGTGTGTGTGTGTGTGTGTGTGTGTGTGTGTGTGTGTGTGTGTGTGTGTGTGTGTGTGTGTGTGTTTGCGTGTTGGCGTGTGTGTGGGGGGGGGGGGGGTGTGACTGTGTGCATGCATCTGCCCTGTGTCCATCCTGTCTGTGTGTGTGTGTATTTTGTCATGCACGCCACTAGATGACTACAACTGGCAGGATATCACGCCGCAGAAGCTGTGGACACAGATCGTCGACGAAGCACAGTCCTACTACCGCTTCACTCTGGACTGCTCGAGCAGCTCCAGTGCGTGCTCAAAGTACGGCATTCAGCCACTCTCGCTGCTCCGCGGATTCTGCATGATGATGGGTATGTCCAGAAAATCCAAATATGGCTCGCAAGCACCAGCAGCTGTGGCAGCACCACAGACCGAATACTCATTGCAATGGCGTGTTCTGTCTTTGGAGATCAGCTGTGTGCACGCATGGCATGCGGCTTACCGTAGTGTCCTGTATAAAAGCCAGTCTCTTATAGAAGCCTGTCTTGAATACAAGCCTGTTTTAAATAGAACTTAGAAGCCTGATTTTCAAGATACACTGTCGGTACATAAGCCTGGTTTTAGTGTTGACATACATAGAAATACGTGGTTTGAATATAAGCCTGATGTGAATAGAAGCCTAGCCGTGACATCAGCTTCTAGAGGAATAAGCCTAGCTTTAATTAGGGGTGAAACAATTATACCGAATATCCGAGTACTCGCTCGTTTTGTTTCAAAAATAATCGTACTTGGAATAAATCAGAGTACTCGTTCATCCATGGTGCATGCATTTACCACAGAAATATACAGTTTCAGGGCAGCAGTCAGTAGATATTGATGCGCAGACTGTGTGGTGAGCATTTGAACACAAGTAGAGAGAGCCCAAATGACCCACCAATCAATATACCCGAGAAAAATGACTGCCTATTGGTTCAATCATGTGACTTTAAAGGCACTTGGTGTGCAATTGTTAAGAGATGAAGAATACTCGAATATTCGATTGGAGAAAATCAGAGTACTCGAACTCGGCATCTCAGTGCCAACTTCATCCTACGCGATATTGCTACGGTATCTAACGTGTGCCTACTCAGTGATGATGCTGGTGCTGGTATAGAGACAATAGACATCAAAGTTCTCAAGTCCAGGTTGTAGTGAGTCTAGTGACCCACCCATATGACATAACACTCCTCAACAAGTGCCTCAACTTCTCATTTTTATTCTTTGGCATGGAGCGGCAAAGTAACCGCATTTGAGAGAAGTGTGTGCATGCTTATTGTTGCAATAAGGCATCAGTGTGGCAATGCTACTATTGTAACTAAGCAATGCTGAATAACCGTGGCAAGATGTTGCATTATTCACCGCGGCAGCCCCATAATGGTGCGGTTGCACGGATCACCACTGCTGTTGTGTAAATGGACCGGTCTTTATCTGCTGTGTCTGTCTGTTTGGGCTGTGCCTCCTTATCACGTGCACACACATGTACACACACACACACACACACACACACACACACACACAGGCGTTCAGATCCAGAGCCGCAACTACAACTTCAACTCTCCGTACGAGGCCACGTTCACACCGGGTGATATCATCAACTCTCATCCAATCCTCAAGTTCCCCTGGTTTGAGCCAGCCGGTGTCGAGGAGAAATGGGTATGTTCCGCTGTGTAACTGAAAAGATATTTTACTATCTGTACATATGTAGACATGGGTATGTCACGATCTGCTTGCATGGGAAATCAAGTGCTTCTTTTGTCTCTGATATATCCGTATGTAATGGCATAGTAGAGAGGTTGTGCATACCGAAGTTTTGTAGAGTTCGGCGGATCGAGCAACAACGTGAGCTCCAGCATTAGCAACGTTCTGTCTGTTGCTCCTTTTTATTGCTGATTCCAGCGATCACCCTAAGGCTATGCATGATCTGTGCACGGTGTGTGTGTGTGTACATGTGTGTGCGCGCGTGTGTATGTACGTGTGTGCTTCCACAGGCGCTCTTGCACGACATTGTTGACCCGTCAATACGCAAGCAGATACTCGTCGAGATCATCCAGATCTACAACCGCACCATTGGGCTTGTCCATCCGCAGCTGGCTAGAGCAAACAGGTACGAACATTCAGTGGCGTGATGGACACTTTTGAGCGTAGATGTGTGTGTGTGTGTGTGTGTGTGTGTGTGTGTGTGTGTGTGTTCCGCGGGCACGCATGTGAGTTTTGCTTGTGTTTGCTAGTTTTTTTAAATAAATATTGTGTATGTAGTCTGAGCAGCACCTTTTGTGTGTGTGTGTGTGTGTGTGTGTGTGCATGGACGTGCGTTTGTGTGTGCGTATGTATGTCTCTGTGCATGTGTGTGCCTGTTTGTTGACGTTTGTTGTTTAGCTCTCTGGCTAGTGCGATGTATGAAGACGGTGACTATGCAACGGTAAGACACCAGTTGCAGCGCTATGTTCTGATAAACCCAGACTAACCCAGACAAGACTGGGTTTACCCGGACAAACCCAGACAAGACTGGGTTTACCCAGACAAGGCTGTGTTTACCCAGGCAAACCCAGACAAGGCTGTGTTTACCCAGGCAAACCCAGACAAGACTGTGTTTACTCAGACAAGGCTGTGTTTACCCAGACAAGACTGTTTACCCAGACAAGACTATCTGTGGTACACTCCTGCAGGGAAACTCAGAGTGGAGAAGTTCATTGTAGTTGTAGCTGGGTTAGTTCTAGTTGGCAGAGCAATGTGGGTAAATGTTGAGCCGGGTAGTTGGGCACCTATGTCTCAAAAGGAGAGCCCTCAGAGATAGCAGTGTAGGCTTATTAAAAGTAAAGCACCGTACCGTTACTCAGTCACAGATCACAGATTGGTGGGTTGAGGATACTTGTCTTATTATACTATATATACTGTAGTGTCGCGTATAAAAGCATGACCTGTATAGAAGCATGGCTCGAATAGAAGCCGATTTTTCGAAGCGCGCTGTGACACAGAAGCACGATTTGAATAGAAGCCGCTCTCTGCAAAGTACATGTGTAAGTACATGTGCCAGTATGCACTGCACAGTGTACACTGATGATGTTTACGTAGAAGCATGTTTTGAATAGAAGCATGGTTTGAATAGAAGCATGGTTTGAATAGAAGCATGGCTTGAACCCCGGCTTATACGGCCGTAAGCGCCTGCTTTTATACGCGACATTACGGTATTATGTATATTGGGATTATCTAGAAGAGGGATAAGTCTTATTTGCAACAGCACTGGGCAAGAGGGAAAGCTAAAGCTACCCAGGCCCAATGGATACCACAAACTCCACAAAGGTTAGGATAGACTGCAGCTGGAATCACTTATGCCCTCAGAAGATACACAAATGTGTCCATGGTGTTCGCACGGGGAGTTGAAATGAGCCGGGACTATTCATAAGGCCAAAACAAATAATGACCTTGTTTCCGGTCGCCCGACCGGGCCACTTTTTCCCAAATTCTGAAACTTTTTTTTGGTCCCAATTGTATACAAACGGTGGCAATGCCATGTGTGCAAGTGCACTCAACGAGTCATAACTCAGTCAAATATCAACCGAATTCCACATTCGAAACACCTACAAGGTAGCAGAGATTCTCAGCTGTCGGCTCGAAAACCTCCGGGGTCGATACGAGATAGAATATAAACGGAGCTGGAAGGACTCGAACTGTTTGCTTGATTTCTCAGGATGTACGAAAACAGGAATACACCACATGCTGTACAAGAACAGTGAGTCAGTCAACTTTGACATTGATCCTTGCCATGATATATGTACAATGTACATGTGTATGTGCTCTTGTCCATCAATACCACAACGATTGAGGAACCAAAAAAAGTATCCAAAAAAAGTTTCATTCCGGCCGACCGAGTCTCCTTTTTGAGGGGTTGCCGACCGGAAACAAGCCTATTTTTTGTTTTGGCCTAATGCAATGTAGTCGGTCGGTAGAGCAAGGCCGTTCGTAGGTTATCGCTAGAGCTAAAGTTGGGCGACAGCATTGCCTCCTCCCCCTCCCCTCCATGGGAATGAAGTCGTGTCCCCACGACCTAACGAGGGAGCTTGAAAGCGCAGGGCCCTCGCTATGCTTTTTTGCTTAGGTCATCATGCATGTTATTCGAACTGATGGAAACGTTTTTTTTGCAATACGATCATCGACTAAGCTTGTGATCAGATATAATGATAAATAATGACGGCCACACAGCTGCGGGAGTGCACCACCATCTTTGTGCTCTTGGCATGCAATTGTAGTCAGGTTGAATTGAACACCCATACAGCACGTGCTGTTCAAAGCGATGCTGCGTCAACAGGACATATCGCTGCGTGAGTGCACCACCATCTTTGTGCTCTTGGCATGCAATTGTAGTCAGGTTGAATTGAACACCCATACAGCACGTGCTGTTCAAAGCGATGCTGCGTCAACAGGACATATTGCTGCGGGAGTGCACCACCATCTTTGTGCTCTTGGCATGCAATTGTAGTCAGGTTGAATTGAACACTCATCTATCTTACCCCAGCCGCAGCAACGCACCCCAGGAGAGGACTTGTCCGGACAATGACCACACAGCAGTCTGGTGGACTCGCTTCAGCGGCTTCACTTGAGGACACAAGCTCGTCACTGGCTTTGGCGTGCCGGCAATACAATTTCTTCTCTTCTTTGAGAAATGTACTGCTGGCACTGCCATCACCAGATAGCACATCCAGTCGGCCTGCCTGCGCCACTGCCATAGTGCAGGAACACCCATACAGCACGTGCTCTTCAAAACGATGCTGCGTCAACAGGACATATCGCTGCGGGAGTGCACCACCATCTTTGTGCTCTTGGCATGCAATTGTAGTCAGGTTGAATTGAACACCCATACAGCACGTGCTGTTCAAAGCGATGCTGCGTCAACAGGACATATCGCTGCGTGAGTTCACCACCATCTTTGTGCTCTTGGCATGCAATTGTAGTCAGGTTAAATTGAACACCCATACAGCACGTGCTGTTCAAAGCGATGCTGCGTCAACAGGACATATCGCTGCGTGAGTGCACCACCATCTTTGTGCTCTTGGCATGCAGTTGTTGTTGGGTTGAAAGGCATCGGAAAGTAGGCTCGCTCCCTTTTCAAATTATCGCAGTAGAATTTGAATGGGCCCTGCATTTCCATGTGGACGACTCTGCAGGCAATGTTCAATGTGCTTGCATGAATGCACAAAAGCATGGCACACCATGCAGGCTGTCCGGTTTCGTCGAATTGCTACGATTCCATACCCGGCCTGGTGCAACAACAACAACAGCACATAACAGCTCCTTAAGACGAGCCTAACTCTTGAGTAGTCAATGGAATCTCAGTTGGTGAACAGGAAAGGTTTGATAGGAGCAACACCTCACATGAAACACAGCGAAAATCGACAGTTCACCTATCTTACCCCAGCCGCAACAACGCACCCCAGGAGAGGACTTGTCCGGACAATGACCACACGGCAGTCTGGTGGACTCGCTTCAGCGGCTTCACTTGAGGACACAAGCTCGTCACTGGCTTTGGCGTGCCGGCAATACAATTTCTTCTCTTCTTTGAGAAATGTACTGCTGGCACTGCCATCACCAGATAGCACATCCAGTCGGCCTGCCTGCGCCACTGCCATAGTGCAGGAACACCCATACAGCACGTGCTCTTCAAAGCGATGCTGCGTCAACAGGACATATCGCTGCGGGAGTGCACCACCATCTTTGTGCTCTTGGCATGCAATTGTAGTCAGGTTGAATTGAACACCCATACAGCACGTGCTGTTCAAAGCGATGCTGCGTCAACAGGACATATCGCTGCGTGAGTGCACCACCATCTTTGTGCTCTTGGCATGCAATTGTAGTCAGGTTGAATTGAACACCCATACAGCACGTGCTGTTCAAAGCGATGCTGCGTCAACAGGACATATCGCTGCGTGAGTGCACCACCATCTTTGTGCTCTTGGCATGCAATTGTTGTTGGGTTGAAAGGCATCGGAAAGTAGGCTCGCTCCCTTTTCAAATTATCGGAGTAGAATTTGAATGGGTCCTGCATTTCCATGTGGACGACTCTGCAGGCAATGTTCAATGTGCTTGCATGAATGCACAAAAGCATGGCACACCATGCAGGCTGTCCGGTTTCGTCGAATTGCTACGATTCCATACCCGGCCTGGTGCAACAACAACAACAGCACATAACAGCCTCCTTAAGACGAGCCTAACTCTTGAGTAGTCAATGGAATCTCAGTTGGTGAACAGGAAAGGTTTGACGATAGGAGCAACACCTCACATGAAACACAGCGAAAATCGACAGTTCACCTATCTTACCCCAGCCGCAACAACGCACCCCAGAAGAGGACTTGTCCGGACAATGACCACACGGCAGTCTGGTGGACTCGCTTCGGCGGCTTCACTTGAGGACACAAGCTCGACAATTGCTTTTGCGTGCCAGCGATACAATTTTTTCTCTTCTTTGAGAAATGTACTGCTGGCACTGCCATCACCAGATAGCACATCCAGTCGGCCTGCCTGCGCCACTGCCATAGTGCAGGAGCACCCATACAGCACGTGCTCTGCAAAGCGATGCTGTGTCAACAGGACATATCGCTGCGCGGGTGCACCGCTGCACCTGAAGTCGGCGGATGACGCATCGTGCATCCTCTTACTGTGGCATCTGGGGACGGAGAGGTTGGGGAGGTGGAGGAGGAGGCGGTGGCCCGTGGACCAGGTGCTACCGCATCCAGTCGGCCTGCCTGCGCCACTGCCATAGTGCAGGAACACCCATACAGCACGTGCTCTGCAAAGCGATGCTGCGTCAACAGGACATATCGCTGCGTGAGTGCACCACCATCTTTGTGCTCTTGGCATGCAATTGTAGTTGGGTTGAAAGGCACCGGAAAGTAGGCCCGCTCCCTTTTCAAATTATCGCAGTAGAACTTGAATGGGTCCTGCATTTCCATGTGGACGACTCTGCAGGCAATGTTCAACGACTAGAAACTCTCTGCCTTCCTGTCCTTAGTCTTGGCCGCCGCTTGTTTCTTTGTTCCGATGCGGATTCCGCCATCGTCGGCCACAGTGTGCTGCCAGCCATGGCGTTCCTGAAAGCGAAGAAACGACGACTGCTGGCACGACCCGGACCCGCCACGAGGAAAGAAAATCAGATGGATTTTCGGACGTACACGCGTGGATCTCCCTTCATGATCCTGGCAGGTTCTTAAAGAGGTACCTCTTTCACACCACTCTGAAGGGGACTTTTACACAGGGGATAGGAGACTTTTCCAAGTGTACTCTTTACGGGGGATAGTGTGGCTGGATGAGGGTGAGGAAAATGTGTACGGACTCCTGAACCGTGCATGCGTGTATAGGGAATTTTGTACCTATAGACCTAGTATTGTGGACTGGACATCATATAGTGCATGGACCTTCTACTGAGTCCATCGTGTATGAACTGCTGTGTGTGTGTTGTACAATGCAGGCTGTGTTTCACCAGGAGGAAGCCGTGCGCATCTTTGAGGTTGCCTGCGGTATTGACAACCCACTGACCATCGACGCTTACGTAAGTAGTGCTGCCGTCTTCTCATGATCATCGTCTTGTCTCACTGCTTGTAGAACATTGCTAAGTGCTGTCTTGCCTTGATCGTCGTCTTGTCTCAATGCTTGTCTTATTGCTTGTCTCATTGCTTTGCTTGGCGTTCAATCTTATGCAATCTTTAATCTGAAGCTATCGTAAAGAGAGGAGAGAGAGAGAGAGAGAGAGAGAGAGGGGGGGGGGGGGAGAGGGAGAGAGGGTGAGAGGTCGGGGCACTCTCGCGGTTCTTTACGGTAAAGCAGTTCTTGGCGAATGACCTGATTAGATACGTGCATTTTGTGACTATTTGTGTCTGCGTGCATGTGTGTGTGTGTGTGCATCTGTGTACATGTATGTTACTGTAATGCGTGTGTTTAGACTGTGCTCGGTAGATACCTGTTTGCTTGCAATCAAGTATCAATGGCTTTGCAGATGGCTCATCACGCACGCAGCTTGCTTTTGCTGATCTTCGGACCAGATCACCCCATGGAAACGGCCCTGGATGTGAGTTCAAAGTCAACTTGTCTTTACATGCCTCCAGTCTATTCATAAAAGATGGACTTCTAGCTTTTGACCAGAAATGGGTCAAACCTTGAGTTTTTTTAGAATTTTTTCTGCAATCCCCTATGTAATCCTCTTCCAATTATGTTCCGAAGTATATTTGTCCAAAACGCAAGCGATCATAAGAATAGGATTTCGGCCAGGTTTTGCCCCCGACGCACTGAATTGGGAAAAATCATCAAAATCCAGGCCGGTTGACCCCGCCTACAACAGTACATTGTGGTTCGAACCCCAGTTCAGGTACCTTTTTTGGCCCCTTTTTCAAATTTCGAATTTCGTATCACTGCACTGTGTAAAAATCGCCAATTACGGGCCCTCGCCAGAGCCAGAGCCCATCTTTTTATGAATGGACTGTCTGTGTCTGTGTGTGTCTGTGTGTGTTTCCTATTATCTGCGTGCTGATTTTGTGTCTGTGTGTTGATGTGTCTGTTGGATCTGATCATGTTGATAATTTTGTCTTTGGGATATGATTCGAGCTAGTAAAAGCCTTGACATTGTGTGTGCTTGCATCTGTGTGCATGTGCATATGCGTGGGCTTGTGTGTGCATATGCGTGGGCTTGTGTTCATGCATGTGTGTGCATACATGTGTGTGCATCCCGTTATGTGTTTGTGTATGCGTGTGTACATACATGGTTTTGCGTTCATGCAGCGTGACATTGGCGAGTATTTGCTGGAGCGCAACCCTGAGCTGGCTCTGAAGTTCCTGCTGCGCTCTTGTCACCTGTATGAGAAGTGAGTATTGACAACAATCCGCCGCCTCCGCTACATGTACAGGCTATACTGCTCAGGGGCGTAGCTGGTCCCCCCCCTTTTATGGGGGTGTACGGCCCCATATCATGCTCAGGGGCGTAGCTGGTCCCCCTTTTATGGGGTGTACGGCCCCATATCATACGTGTAGGATGGCTGGTGCATGGCATTCATGGTCATTATAATATTATGTGCATGCTGAACCTAGGTCGAAATTTTAAGGGGGGGGGGGGGGCGTGCCCCTGCCCTATGCGGGCTACGCGCTTGCTGCTCATGCAGATAGTACAGTTGAGCTCGGTTAAATCCGACCCAGCGTGCGTATTTTGGCGCACTCAACCTGCACGGTCCTTGACACCCTCGACGTGGCACGAATGTTAAACAGAAATCGATACTTAAACTGTTGCTATTGAGCGTTGAGGATGAGTGCGAATCGTTACCTTTGGTACACGTAAACCAGTCAATTATAGGAAATCATTATATATGTACGCTTCGTTAGAATAATGGCTTTTACAGTACACACTGTGTATGCATGTTGTATACTGCTGCTGCATGAAATCAGACCGTGTGACAGTCAGGCTAACATCCCGGCACACCTGCACACAGTCCACTGTGCTTTGGCTACATGTGCACACTTTATGCTCACTGCTTGTCTCGTTCTCTTCTACTGCTGCTGCTGCTGTTGCTGCTGCTGCTGTTGCTGCTGCTGCTGCTGCTGCTGCTGCTGCTGCTGTTTCTGCTGCTGCTGCTGCTGCTGCTGTTGCTGCTGGTGTTGCTGTTGTTGTTGCTGTTGCTGCTGCTGTTGTTGCTGCTGTTGTTGCTGCTGCTGCTGCTGCTGCTGCTGCTGCTGCTGCTGCTGTTGCTGCTGCTGCTGCTGCTGCTGCTGCTGCTGCTGCTGCTGCTGCTGTTGCTGCTGCAGGTATGAGGGTTCTAGCCGCGTCAACGACTTGAACCATGCCAGAGTGTAAGTTTTCACAAACAAATATCGTACTCGGGGAGCAATGGTGTGAGGATGGCAGTGGCCGCTACGACTTCCTCGACTTCAGCAACAACTTTGACAGACACTTTCTACAATGTTGTTCTGCTACTACTTCTCATACCCGTTGGAAAGGTCTTTACGCCGCGTTTGAATTTCTGACTTTTCAGTCCGCAAGGAAGCATTCTCGTGTAAATTTGAACTTCAAACCTTCAACGGATAGTCGTCTAATACGGACGGATAGGGGCACTTCGTGCAGAGCCATGTGCTGACTCACTCTGGGTTCAGGGCATTGCATGTAGAGTGGGAGAACTACAAGAAGCAAAATCTCAGCAATTGGAATCGAGGGAACAGTCGCAGAGCACGTTTCCAACTTTTGAATTGCCAGTTGTTACTGGCTCCTTTCTGACTCGTGTCTTTGCACTAACTTCTTTCTGGTGTGTGGTTTGTTTGTATCTGTGTCTGGTTGTGTGTGTGCGTGTGTGTGCATGTGTGTACGTGTGTGTGTGTGTGTGTGTACGTGTGTGTGCGTGTACGTGTACGTGTGTGTGCGTGTACGTGTACGTGTTGTGACATATTCAGTCAACACCGTGTTGCTCAATGCTATCTGCTGCTTGGTGACTACCGGAGCTCGCTGCAGGCTGAGCGCCTTGTTTACAATGCCTACAAGGCCGGGGTGAGTTCTCCTACAATGAACCATTCAATACACTTGATCTGGTACATGATGTAACAGCATGCATAGTACAAAGACAGGCACATGCACGTACGCAGAGACGGACGGACAGGCAGATGGCTAGATAGATAGAGGGACAGACTCCGACAGTGACAGAGGTGTTCTCTCAGCATAAGAAACGCCTTCAATGCATAGACACAGTTATGTGTCTCTGTGTAGGAGGGCCGTCTTGAGCATCACCGAAGGCTGTTTTTTTAGTGTCGGCATGCGTGTTATTGCCGAAGGCTGGTTTGATTGTCGTCACGTGTATTTGTGCGTGCGTATTTGCGCGTGGTGGATTCATATGTGTGTCACTGTTTTCCTGTTCAATGTGTGTTGTGTGTGCTGTGTGGTTAGCTTGGAGAGAAACACCCAGCCACTCAGCACTGTGCTGCACTGCTCAAGAGCATCACCTTCAAGGCTGTGAAGGCTGAGAAAGTGGTAAGTCATGACCCTACCTTTGACCTTTGACGCCCATCGCCAAAGGCGATGGTAGCGATGCTACAGCAGAAGCCATAGTAACTTGCAACACACACATACACACACGCACGCACGCACACTAACAGTCGAGTAAGGGAAGATCTCCTGCGTTGTGCTTGCTGCTGCTGCTGCTGCTGTTACTGCTGCTGCTTCTGCCGCTCCTGCTGAAATTCTGCTATCTTGGTGTGTGGCCTGGGTGTGCATTGTCTAGCCTGATACTGTAACAACATGTAATTTTAGGTGCATCAAAATTTCGGTGCCAGGGACCTGCCAGGTTTCGGGTGTAATGTAGAATTAGGTGACCAGCTTTCCCTTCACATACAGTGCATATTCTAGTGCCTTTTAGGTGTAATTTAAATTTAGGTGCCTGTTTTGTGTACCGAAATTAAAGTTACACCGAATATACCATGTTTTACAGTATTGATTATTGTACGTGTGTGTTTGCTGCTGTTGTTGTGTGTGTTTGCTGCTGTTGTTGTGTGTGTTTGCTGCTGTTGTCTTGGTGGGACTTCTGTAGCTGCAGACGGCCATTCAAGCTCGCCAAGTTGGTGCAAGCGAGGTAAGTCAGTCTCTCTCTCTCTCTCTCTCTCTCTCTCTCCCCTCTCTCTCTCTCTCTCTCTCTCTCTCTCTCTCTCTCTCTCTCTCTCTCTCTCTCTCTCTCTCTCCCCCCCCCCCCCTGCTTTCTCTGTCTCCAGAGTCTTGTATTGAAGCGTTTCTTGTGCAGCATTGTCTTCACCGGCACGGGCCATGCCAACTCGTTTTTTCTGTGTCCGTTGCTCTTGTCCTGCAGGAGGAAGATAGGCGTGAGCTGCTGGATCTATTTGCTACCCTGAGTCAACAGCAGGCAGCTGGTGACGACCTCTCCTCTTCCATGGATGCCGGTGAAATTGAGCGGCGGATTCAAGCTAGCGTTGAGGCAGCCAAGAAGAGAGCACCAACCTCCAAGGCTGCAAGTTCCACTACTGATGAAGGTAAGTTGTACCGTTTTTTTAAATTATAATGACTGAGGGAGGCACGGAGAGAGAGAGAGAGAGTGTGTGTGTGTGTGTGTGTGTGTGTGTGTGTGTGCGCGCGTGCGTGTGTGCGTTTTGCGCAACTATACCTCATTCACACTTGCACCCGTTGGAGGGAGAGGGTTGTGAATTCCTGCTAGTCCCAGCCGTGGCTGAATATGAATTCCCGAGCCCGCGTTGCGGTGTGTTTGCGTCTGTCTTATCAGGCCCAACGCTGGTCAACGGTGATGCATCGTCCAGCCGTGGTCCGCAGTCCCCTGCTGCTCCTAATGCCACCGCCACCGCTGCTGCCACTGCATCCAGCAAGTCCAAGAATAAGAAGAAGTAAGTGTGGCGGCGACCATGTTTACCATGATAATTGGTAACCATAGTAACTCCCATTTCTTTCAGTGCTTTTTCTGTGATGAATGTTGGGAGGTGAGGCATGCTTTGGAAGACTGTAACATGGTGTAATTTTAAATGATTTGTGATAGCTGAACTTCTGGTCTGGTAACATAAGTAGGTTGGAACATATTCTTGTCTGCAGACCAGCGACGTATTCCATTCAACAAGAGTACAGTACCAAGACTGTGCAACTCCTATCTTTTGAAAACTGCAATGGATTCACCCAGGGTGGAATTTGTTGTTGCTTGTTGTTTAAAGAAAGTGATCAGGTGTGTAGGCTTTCTACACTGGTCATGTCCATGCGCTGTTAGTTCATTCCATTCAGGACGCCTCAATCTACCGTTCATTGTACTGCTTCAACTGCCATAGCTGTGCTGTACAAGTGATTTGCAAACTTGATCCCTCGCAACGCACGATGGCATCAGCGAGCCGAATTGCCAGGAAATTCTGTTGTCATTATAAAAGAAAACTCCGCCAGGTTGGGTGATCGTCAAGTTGCATACTCTGTGTTACCGTATGTCAGCGCCTTTAAAGCCATGGAGGTATATTCGATTATAAAGCCAGTCTCAGTTATAAAGCCATGGGCTTCATAAATAAAGGATTAGGCACTATACTAACAAACTTACAGCCCAGCAGGAATCGTGAACAAGTAGATTTAGATTGAAATTTCTGTGTAGTCTTTGACTTTTATGGCATGGCGTAGTGGGTGAGTCATTTTGCATCTAAAATATCTAGGAACAGGCCATGGCTTTAAAGGCGCTGACATACGGTATGTACTTCAAATACGTTTGATTTCACTTCTAGTTACCCTCACCACTCATGCCCTGCTTTTCCATGTGTGTTTTTTCTTTGCCGCTGTGTCTTCTCGCAGGAACAAGAAGGGCAAATCTGGAAAATAGTCTTAGTTCTAGTTTGTTTAGTCGATAGTCATGTATCATTATTTGATTCTCCCTGTTACACTGCGGGCCGTTCAGTTGCAGTGCTGCCGACCCGAGTAGCAAACACAGGCCATGCTGCTGATCCCCGTGCAGTGCTGCGTGTGCGTGTGCACATGTGCCCAGGCTGGTACGTGTAGTTCTGCGGCTGGTTATGGCTCGTATCACACCTACTACTGTTGCTGTTTTGGCATGGTGGTGGTGGGTGTCGTGGGTGTTGTGAGGAGCACCACATGTGCGATGGTTCCTGCTGGCTGTTGCGGCGCTAATGCTGCTCTGTATGCATTGCACAAAGTTGCTCCCCCCCCCCCTCCCCCCATGCTCTCTCTCTCTCTCCTCTCTCTCTCTCTCTCTCTCTCTCTCTCTCTCTCTCTCTCGCTCTCTCTCTCGCTCTCGCTCTCGCTCTCTCTCTCTCTCTCTCTCTCTCTCTCTCTCTCTCTCTCTCTCTCTCTCTCTCTCTCTCTCTCTCTCTCTCGCTCTCTCTCTCTCTCTCTCTCTCTCTCTCTCTCTGTTTTTCCGCAGCGCTGAGTTTGTGTGCAGTGTTGTTTTGTACTACATGATTGTAAATTGTTGATAGTGTGTGCAACCGTCATGCTGCACTTCTCTCCAAGCCAGCTATTCTTTCTGGCCATTGCAAGTGTGCTTCCTGCTGTGTATGTTCCGTCTCCCGTCCCATGAGTGGAACCGCGTACATTCTCCTAATACTCGGTTGTGCTGATCTCTTTGGTTTTCCTATGGCTTTCTCGTGTCCTTTTTGGTATCATTGTGACGTGGCCTGTAAATTTCAGATTCACCGTAGTCGCTTGCGCATCCATTGTCTCTTCTTTCTAGCGTTTCTTCTCCCGGTGCACGCTGCCGTGCGAATGCAGCGCTGTGTGGTGTTTGCATTCTCGTCGTCGTAGCCGCAACCAGCACAGCTGCAGTCACCACCGTGTGGTTTCACTACTGTTGTTGTTGCTGCTACTGCACTGGACCTTCAGACATGGCAACGTCACGTCCCCGAGAGAGAGAAACTACTCAAACTAGCAACCTGACTTTTGCCTGCTTAGTCTTTTTTTTTGCTCTGTTTTGTTTTTGCTTTTGTTCCGGCGAAAACTGTTTCTTACGTCAAACTAACTCCTGTTCCCTAACTCTGCAAGCTGACTGTACTTCCAAGCTTTGCAAGCAGCGTTCAACATGCACAATTTTCAGGCTAACCATTGTTTCTGTTTTGCAGAATGTCCACTGCTGTGTCTCCTGCGCTCTAGCTTGGTCTAGGTACTCCCCAGGCGACAGCTCTGTTGTCACTCTATTTATTTTTGGTGTAGACGGAAGCAGTGTTTGAGATTGGTGTCAACAGTGTACATGAGACAGTCGTGCTGGTGTGTGCTGTTGGTGTGTGCTGCTGGTGTGTGCTGCTGGTGTGTGCTGCTGGTGTGTGCTGCTGGTGTGTGCTGCTGGTGTGTGCTGCTGGTGTGTGCTGCTGGTGGAACATGGGGTACTGGCGGTGTTGTATGCGTCGTGGACCTTGGTGGTGGTGCTGGTGGGGCCTAGGGCAGTTCAGTCTGTCCACGGTTGCTCTGGTCGTACTGATGATTCTGGCGGTGAGGACACTGGCCCTGTCACTGGCCCTGTTTCAGACCTTCTTCCATACCCACCCGAATAGAGAGACAGACAAAGAGAGGGAGGGAGGGGGCAGAGAGACGCACACACACAGACACTCAGAGAGGAGGGGTCCTCCGCCTTGTGATAAGCTTTGATACCCACCCGAATAGAGAGACAGACAAAGAGGGGGGGGGGGGGCAGACAAACACACACACACACACACACACACACACGGAGGAGGGGTCCTCCTTCTTGTGATAAGCTTTGATCGTTCTGTACACATGTTTTGTAGATGCTATGAGTATGATTCCCTGATAGCAACATCTCAAAATCGTTGTAGTTTTGTTTCACACCTGACTTCGTGAAGGATGGTGGCCATTGCTTTGCATGGCACTATACATGTACATGAATTTCCTATTATTTTGGGTCACGTGCATGTGTATGTGTGCATGCGCACGCGCATGGGCCGTGTGCATTTGCGTGTTTGCGCTAGGCATGGGCGGGTAATCATACACACACAGTGCTAGTTATTTGCTGCGATGATGCTAAAGGCAATGCCCATATGAGGGTATAATGCCACTTATAATGCTCACACTACTCCATAATGCCAGTTTGAAATTTGGAAAAGTCTTGGCTCAAGGCCAAAGCGTAGAAGAAAAAACCTTAAACAGCAGTGAGCATGTTGTCTGAAACAATTCACTGAGAAGGCTGATTTGCAACGTCAAGTCTCCGGACGAAGCCGGACGGGTTCAGATGCACGATTTTCGGAACTGGACCTAGCCAGGTTCATGCATGACACCGTTGTCGACCGGCAATTATGCTTGTAATGCCAATTTTGCATGCGAAATGGTGCTATAATGCCAACATTATGCCACCAGGAAAAAAGGGACTATTGCCAGCCATAATGCTAGCATTACCCGCCCATGCCTACGTGTTTGTGTATCTGTGTGCGGGGTATAATACCGGTAGCGAGGTGGGGAGCCGGGGGGGGGGGGGGGGGCTGGTATGTACCATTGTGCTATTGCAGTCTCATGGCTACATACAGTGCCTCGCACAGTGTTCACCATGTTTATCTTCGGAGCTGGGGCTGGGGCTGGGTGGGGGAGGGAGCGGAAAAGGAACTGAAATTATCCATATAAAAACCGCTCTGTGTCTGTGAGCGGTTCTGAAAAACCTTTACTGGTGCTGCCAAGTCGTAAAAGCAGGGAGTCCGTGTCATACTATACGACTCCCTGGTAAAAGTAAGAAAAATTAGAACTGGTGCATTGTCCCCCCAAATGTGAGCAGATCCACCTAAATCGCGAGTGGCGGTCATGGACCAGCGTAGATCTACAGGTAGGAATCTGGTGCTACTGGTGCGTCCGGGTCCCGTCATTCGCGATTTAGGTGGGTCAGCTCACATTTTGGGGTGCCAGTTCTATTAGGCCTTATGCACATTGTACAGATGCACGAAATCCCGTATAATCGTGTAGAATCCCGTAGACCCGGTTGGGTGTTGAATGTGCAGGACCCTATTATGTTTACTGCTATTTCCACTATGAAATGGGCCATGAAGGCATTTCATACGAAATCTTTTTCCGGCAGAGATCTAGCTAGTCGTTAGTTCAATCCCAAAGTGAAGAAGGCTTGAAAAGTGATCGTTTGCCATGAATTGTGAGGCTAAATGGGTCAAACGCGCATGTATAGCACACAATGAACACCCAACCGGGTATGTACACACCTACGGCCATAGTACAGAACTTCGTACATCTGTACAATGTGCATAAGGACTATTTTAAAAAGTTCTAATTTCTTACTTTTACGACAGGGCAGCATAAGCAAAAATCACAACATGACAATTATTCATGTTACATGTATATACAGTAGTAGTCTAGTAGCGTTCGCGAGTTAGTTAGTTTATAGTTAGCACTTGGTTTTGATTTGCACCACACTAGAGTCACTACTAGTACTACCAAGAGTAAACCTTTTTTGTACTCTTGGTACTACAGTATTACCTAAACTAAAGGCCGGGTTTTTCAGAACCGCTAGCTCACAGTCACACCATGCATGATGACGTGTCTTTTCCAGGCTGCATGCCTGGCCTCTCGCCGTCTCGGTTTGGAATCTGCAATGGAGAGCTTTGGTCGACTTTCTCTCTCCGTATCTCTATCTCTCTGAGAGAGACTGATGTGTTGCTCATATGCAGAGTCTTTCCTATGCCCCTGATCTGAGACGGCTGTGAGAAATAGACGAAGCCGCGCTGCGGATAGGTGCGCCCCGGTGGCCGGGCTGAGCAAATCAGCTTAGCGGTCGGACGGACGACTGCTTGCGCAAAAATTGCAATTGCGGCGGCAATGCGAAGAGACACCGGAACTTCGAAAGGCAATTGGCATTCCCAGTGCGTGTAGCTGAGTATGATGTACAAGGCCTGTCCTGAGAGAGTTGTGTTTGTCAACACATCCTACTGCTCTCCATGTGGACGTAGTGCGGAGGCAAGTCTGGAGCTGGGCTTACATGCCATTCACGACTCGGAAAGCCTTGAGTCATCGGTAAGTAATAGTTCTGAGGTGCTGAGTGTCGTGTCGGAGGCCATCAAAGAAAAGCCCACTTTGTCTGTCCGTCCTCCATTGGTGTTGCGTGCGTGCGTGTGCGTGTGTAGCGTGCGTGCGTGCGTGTGCCGTCCGTATTACCAAGAGTACATAACCCCCCTACTCTTGGTATTACTTGCATACAGTCAGGATTAGATTGAGTAGCTTTGATACTGCAGTGCGAAAGATCATTGTACATGTACTTGTAGATGAGCTCAGTGTGCCAGGCATACATGTACATGGCATGTATGGTTATTGGTTAATCATTGGTTGGGGGAGTGGTGGTGGTGGTATGCAATGATGAAGAGCAGGGCGGCGATGCATGCAGCAGTAGGTCTGGTGTACTGTGGACTGGTGAAAATCAGCCAATTGACATCAGCCAATTGACATCAGCCAATTGACATCAGCCAATTGACATCAGCCAATTGACATCAGCCAATTGACATCAGCCAATTGACATCAGCCAATTGACATCAGCGTAGTCGCGCTTCCTTCAAAAGTGTCAGGAAAGTTTTCCAGGTAGGCCCCGGCGGATAATGCTCGAGAATTTGATGTGGATTCTGCTTTTCCTGCAATATGCTCGCATTCAAAGGCTGCTCTGAAATAGCACTGATAATGCTTGAATAGGGCTTGAAAATGTTACGTCACAGCATAGCAACAATTTCAAAAATTCAAAATCTGGATCCAGTTTTTGGATGGATCCAAGCACATTTCAAGCGGCCTTACTCACAGCAAGGTGATATAGCCGGTGAAACTGACTGATTTGGCTATTGGCGGTGGGGTGACAACTGGTGGCGAAGTAGAAGTCACACCTGCATACGACATGCGTGGGTTGCTATGCACCCACACACTGAGGCAATAGCAAAGTCACACCTCAGTGGATCCAAAATAGAAATGTGATGTGAACTCACTACTCCCTGGCCGTTTTTGCCGTCATCACTTTCAAGCCCTATTCTGCTTCAGAAAAATGTAAATAGTGGTATAGATAACTAATGTTGCAGATTCGGATAACACTGCATACTAGTACATGTGTTTTGCAGCATACATGATGTACATCATGTACATCATGTTCTATGAAACAGAAAATACAAGAAGCACAGAATTATTATTGCTTAGCAGTAGCGCTGAAAAAAGTATACCGATAACTCGCATATCGATCGTTAAGAGTGCAGTCGATGATCGTTAGTGTTCAAAACCCTGGAGACAGCCCGTGCCCATGGGGGGGGGGGGGTGCGGATAATCGGCGTTTTACTGTATCACAAAATTCGCTACATGCGGGTTCGTTATAAGTGGAGTCAACTGTACATTTACGCCATACTCTGTACTTTTGCGACCACCCCTAGGTGCGGTTATGTCTTATGAACTGAATGAACTGCGCGACTAGTGTATGTGGCCTTCGATAGCTCAGTTGGTAGAGCGGAAGACTGTAGTGTGCGCATCACTGGGATGTGCAGTCATCTTTAGGTCGCTGGTTCAAATCCGGCTCGAAGGATTTTTTCACTTTTTTCTTTCTTTCTTTCATAGCGTACAGTGACCATGATTGAGAAACGAGAGGTACCAGGTTCAAGTCCTGCTTGGAAGCGGAAGGATTTTTTTCCAACTGGCCTGGCATAGTACTAACTGCTGTTCTACTTGTGTTTTCTTGTCTTTTGTCTGCAGGATTCGGCGGCCATTGCCGGCAAGGGAGGAGGAGGGCAGGCAACAGCAAGCCAGCAAGAAGCAAGCCGCCAAGAAAATTCGTGCCAAGAAAATTCTAAAAATAAGCCATCCCTATCCCCGACCACCATCCCCTACCAGATTGATTACTTATATAGGTGACCTAGTCTTGCTCTGAACACTTTGACACCTGTGCTGATTGGTCAACTGCCCTCGGCCAATCAGAGTCGGGTATAGAGCTCGCACAAGACATTTCGCACCTAGAGTGGGCAGCTAGTGCAGTGATAAACTTCGACTCTGATTGGCTTGTGGCATTTGAGCAATCATGCACAACCCCTCCCCTAATGTATATCCCTGGGGAATTCCCCTGCACACATCACCCCAGTCCTCACATGATATGCAGTGATGACATCACTGTAGTTAGCATGGAATACCGCAGTGATGATGACATCACTGTAGTTGGCATGGATCATGGAATACCGCAGTGATATCACTGCATGTACTTGACATGGTACTGAGTATACCGCAGGGATGATGACATCACCGTACTACCGTACTTGGCATACATATTGTTCGGACCTGGGTTGCTCACACCATACACACGGCATGCCGGCCGGGAGCATGCACACATGACCCCCTCTTACTTAGTCAACAGAAGACTGAACTGTTCTGAAGGCTGAGTGAAGCACTGGGGCCTGGGCCTGCTGGGGGTGCTCCTGCATGTCACATGACCCCTACCCATGTGATGCTGCGGACACCACACTTCCTGGGAACAGTGCCGCTGGGACCATGTCGTAGGTGCAAACCCCTACTCCCTAGCAGCGTTCCTGCACACATATACGTCACAGCAGAGCAAACACGACAGGCAGGCAAGAGAGAGAGCAGGAACCGGCAATGATCACCATGCACTATACCTCCTCACATGCATGGTGATCAAAGACTAGATATTACCATGATTACTGTTCACACAATGACTGATCACATGATGTACATCATACTACTGGAGATGAGAGGAAGTAAAATATACGAGTTGAGAAAAAGGTTTCGTGTTGGCATGGAAACGTCGTCAAGTTAGGCTGAACGGTACTGTTAACATGTTGCACCCGATGATATCCAGCCTCATGAATAAGTTAGCAGATCACGGCTGCGCCTCCGGTCGCTCAGTCTAGTGGTGTCCACCAGCATGGAGAGAATGAGAGAGAGAGAGAGAAAGAGAGAGCTCGTTTGATTCTGCGAATTAAAATAACAACAGAGAGAGAGAGAGAGAGAGAGAGAGAGAGAGAGAGAGAGAGAGAGAGAGAGCGAGAGAGAGAGAGAGAGCGAGAGAGAGAGAGAGAGAGAGAGAGAGAGAGAGAGAGAGAGAGAGAGAGAGAGGGACATCCCATTAGTATAATGTGCTATAGACGTTATGCGAATGATGTCGTGGGGTGAGTCAGCGGATTTTCTAATGGGTGCTAAGTATGCAGCATGAGTCGCTAGTTCAAGTGCAGCGCTGTGCCGCGAGTCCGTGACTTCGCCGAAGTGCCTCAACTGATGATGTTGTCGCATAACCCCTATAGAAATACAGTTTTATGGCCAGCACAGTGAAAACTCACACCTTTGTGTGTCGACTGTCCCGAATCCCTTCGCACAAATCATATCCCCAATTCATTTCGCCAGGAACTTAACAATTTCATTCATCTTGGGCACCCTGTAAGAAGACCTTAGGGTCTGTTGGGAATGCCCAAGTAAAATAATAAAATACCGTATTATCTCTAATATAAGCACAGTCTCCAATAATAGCACGTCTCCAATAATAGAACACCTTGTGGCGGCATTCAAAAAATAAAGTGCTCAGTCTCCATTATAAGCACACTGTGTAAATTCATTATCTGTACCGGCGAAAAAAACATGAAATGTGTGTGTCTGACATGAATTTGGCATGGCAACAGGCCTCTGAAATGAGGTTGAGATATTAATGGAACAGTCTCCAATAAAGGAACGTCTCCATTAATAGCACAGGGCGGAGGTACATTGAAAAAATAAAGGACCGTGCTTATATTAGAGATAATACGGTACAATACAAAAAATACTGTAGAGTACAATGAAACGTGATGTGCTAACGACTGTTTTCCATTCTACCACATGCAGTTCTGCATAGAACCTGCACCGGTAACAGTGATTGCCTGTGTTGCTCGACAAGCGGCCAACTTTTGGGGAACCAAGTGCCATACTTGACCTGCATACAGTGACCAAAAGTGCCGTCCTGGCCGACAGGCTTGACTGCAAAAGCGTTGAAGTGCACTCCGAAGCAAGTACACGCAGTCAACGGAAGTGACAGTGCATGCAGGGTGCGACATGCATTTGAGGGAGGTGTGAGAACACATGGGTGCTTCGTCTGCATGAAAGTCTTCTATGAATGTCCAACATTGATCAACGAATGGAAGTACAGTTGCTGCTCAATGAAATCCAGTCACGTCACTCAAGTACGCCCTAGACCTGCAAACACTGGGCTTCGAAATGGTGCAAGGTGCAAACTTGAGTGATGCGACTGGATTTTCATTGATCAACATGTCATGAGCCCCTGGCAGTATGCACATGATCCAGGATGCTACCAATGTACAAGTAAGTTAGTATGGGACCTTGTTCTAAAGAGTACCTGGCTTTAACGACCGCTTTTGCTGGCAGCGCGCAACCCCTGCACAGCCCCTGCACAGCCCCTGCACAGCCCCTGCACAGCCCCTGCACAGCCCCTGCACAGCCCCTGCACAGCCCCTGGGGGTGATCGTTTACTGTAACTGCTAACGGCCTTGCTAATACCGTGAAACCTGTCACTGTCTAAGTCGACCGCTAAAGCCAGGATCTTCAAAATGTGATTGCTGTGTACAGGTGGTCGCCTGATCCAGGCTCATATTACTGTAAAACCGGAAAGTCTAACGAGTCACAAAGTCTAACGTTTCAACGACCAATCATTTTTCGTTACTTGAAAAAACACGTTATCGCTAGATGTCTGTGTGAAGATGCGCATACAGATGGGTGGCCAAGTAGCCATCGTTAAACTTTCTGCACGTAATCATGCCAAGATTACAAAAAATGTTAAACTTTTTGATCGTTAGACTTTCCGGTTTTACAGTAGTAGAAATAGCACCCCTTGGTCCCGGCTGTAGTGGTCCTCTGGGGCAGGTGGTCGCCTTATCAGAGTGGTCTCCTTGACAAGTTTTACGGTACAACTTTTTTGTTTTAATTTCACAGCAAGCTAGTCGTATCAGGGGCAAGTACAAGGGCAGCTCACGCAGGAACATCAAGACATGGCGGACTAGTGAACAGCCTCATTACATAGTCTGTTAGACTGTTGCCTGCATGCATGCTGGCGCAGTGCCCGCAACAACACCCACTATGCATGTGCCGTAACTGGTGTGATCTGGAACGGCAGAATGCAGCACTCAGTGTGGCATGGGCCGGACTACCAGCGGCCACTTCCTGCCAGGCTTTTGAAAGACAATTTGGGCTCGGTTTACATACATGTACATCAGTGTTCTCTAACCAAAGGAGGGGGGGGGAGGGGGGAGGGGGGGGGGGGTGTAGCGACCCCTGTGAAAAAGTGCCACCCCCTCTGCTCCATTGTCGATTTTTGTGCTTTTTCAGGCCATTCATTTCAACGAAAAATTCAGTCGATAGTCACTAACAGAGGGTTCATAAAGGCACACTAGTCTGGGCGTGGGGTGAAGACGGGGTACGTTGCATTGTGCGTGGCAAGCCATTTTGGGGAACCTGGGTTACTAGGTAACTGTTCCCCCCTGCCTCCCCCCCCCCCCCCCACACCCCTGCAGTTTTTACCTGGCTAGAACCCTGCAGCCTGTACAGTGTGTGTGTGCATTGTCATGACACACACACACGAACAGGGCTGCAAACTGCACACATTTACTGTTGGACATACATGTACAATCATTGTTAGATTGACAGCATGGAACAAGGTGGAGGACACTGTGTTCGGAAACAGTGACCTTACTACAACCTTCCGCGGTTGGCAGACCAGTGTCCTCCACCTTGTTTCATGCTGTCAATCTAACAATGATGTGCGTGAACTACAACAAGGTTTATCTAATACTGGTTTTTAACCAGTGTTAGGTTATATCATAGTCATGTACAATCATGTACATGTTCACACACGTGTGTGCATGAGTGCACGTGTCACTGTGCATGCATGCACATACGTGCGCGCACACACACACACGCATGTTTGTTCACAATCGTGTGCAGGCTTTGCTGCCCTTCGACCACTTGTGGCACTTACCCACATAGCTATGCTGGGATGACCTGCTCCTGTACGCCGCTCTCATCGATGGCAATCCATTGCCTCCAACTCCCCTCCCCGTCTCCTTGACACGATGGGAAAGCTGACGCACTGTATCGCTCCTCCACAGCCATGACCTGCCACTGCTGCTCCGTTCTCCCTGGCACGATGCAGCGGGAAAGCTGACATACTGGATCACACCTCCGAATCCATGTACCACGTCCATGACATTCCACTGCAGCATGATTATGATCAAAGCAGGACGATTGGACACTCTGCTTACTATTGGCATGCTACCGAACTCATCGCTAGTCCATCCTGAGTTCGTACAGCTGTGAATGTGTTTCTACATTGACGGTCGCTGTTCGGGAATAATTCCCGGGTCCTCGTGACGAGCACAGACAGCAAAAGGAACACCAGCGGCAGCGTCGTCCAACTTGACCCGCTCCGTCAGCTTTGTCGTCAACGACGTAGATCTACGGTCGGACACCGTCAAACAGTCCACACAGTCAGCAGCAGCAGCCGAGAATGTGTCTCACTTGCCTCTCCATGCAGCTAACGTACATCTCAAGCAGGACTGAGCATGCAGCGTTCGTAGCTGCATGTTCTGCAATTCTACTTCTAGCCTGAAAACAGCTACATCGATTTTCTCTGGGAATGACCAGATGACCAGATGACGGATAGCCGCAAAGCCGCGACACTACTGTAGTAAACCTGCACGGTGCGGCTGACTGAGTGACTGAAGGTTGACACCGGTCACTGGTCTGAGCAGACAATTAAATGCTGCGGAACTAAGGAAGGTCGAGTCGACGATATGAAACTCATGCACTGATGCAGAACAGTGAGCTGATAAAAACACACAAACAGCTGGACTGTGTGTCACTGTCTTCTCCGGTATGGCTACGGAGCCGCGGACCGGTCGACCACCTTCCGTACCGGCCGTACAGTGTACCATGGTGTACTGAGAGTGAGCACCTCTGCTCGTTCTGCTTGATTTTCAGTTTTCATGCAGACAGGCTAGCTACACGTACATGTAGATCTACACTACAGCCTGTACCATGTGTAGATCTACAGGTAGACCATGGACCTGGTAGACATGCAGTGGTAGATGTATCTCTCTCTCTTCCATAACAGTGTCAGGTGATGCTGCTACATGTAGACTACCACTACCAGTAGATCTACTACATTGCAGTATTGCCATTGGCATTGTATTGGTCTAACTCTCTCGAAGTCGAAGTAGATCGCACCCAGTATGGCAGTAATAATAATTATGTATCCAGTGGTGTCAGTTGCTTGCTCTAGTCTAGCTGGGTAGATCAGTACATGATTGTACATTGTAGTAATACAGCAACTGACACTGGATTTATCATTAGGGTTTAGACGGTTTACCAAGACTAAAATGAGAAACACTTGGTGTTCCTGGGTAGTGCAGTGATCGGCTGTGAAGTGTGTGACCATGGTGACCGCTGACCATGATGGTCGCGCTGTTCGGTGTGTGGATTCTCACACAGTCACAGTCTCAGGGGCCGTTTACATGAGAAAAATAAGCCCGGGCTTATTCAACCCTAGGCGTACGATAAGCCCGCCTTGATCTGTCACCCAGTCATTTTAGAGCGCGCGTTTACATGGTCAGGCGGGCTTATTCAGCTCGCCCCGAGCTGAACTAGCCCTACCCTTGACCCCCGAGCTTATCCAACCCCCAGGGCTTATTTTGTCATGTAAACGGTCAAGAAGGGCTTATAAGCGAGTTTTTCCATGTTTTTCGATTTTGCCTCGTGAACCTGAGAGAATGTGGCCGTGGACAGTGCGTCTCTTTTATTTATTTCTTGGTATGTTTTCTTCTGGTTTTTGTCCAGTGGAAGGTCCTAGCCCATCTTTCACCTTCTCGAAAAATAAGTGACAATTGGAAAGGCAGTAGAAACCTGAGCCGGCATTTCTTGATCCAAATTTCATCAGACACGAATATTTACCACTGCGTTCATGTGCGATTTGAAAAATAGAATGCGCGCAGAACTCGCAGTCACTCACCTTAGTTCAGCCCCGTACAACCGTCATGTAAACGGTTGAAAAATAAGCCCGAGGTGAATAAGCCCGGGCTTCTTTTCCTCATGTAAACGGCCCCTCAGACTTGCATGACATTGACTTTGTGCTGACATGCAGTAACTTACATGGCATGGCGGGCATTGCCAGGGCCTAGGGGCAGATCCAGGGGGGGGGGGGGTCCGGGGTTCCACGGAACTCCCTAAATTTCGCAAAATAATGTGCTGCAGGAAACCATATCATATGCATGTACTGTACAACTGTTGGACACACATGGCATTGTTGCCTGGACATTAGCACTGCAGGAATACTACTACAGACCGTACAGTATACTACTACAGACCGTACAGTATACTACTACAGACCGTACAGTATACTATTACTACTAGTCTGTCGGCAAGAGTACTACTGTAACCTCTGGGGATAGGTCCTCTTGCCGACGCCGGGATATACAGAAACTTCATCTATTCAACAATTCATAGGGTACCCTGTAAAAAGGCCCTAGGCCTGTGGGACTGCCCTATTCAAAATTTAATAATAATAATAATAATAATTGGAAAGGCTTTCTGTCTAAAGCCTTTCCATACTGGTGCTCGATGTTTTCAGTTTGGGGACACCAAAATTAGTGTACCGCTAAAGACACGTGGTCGACACGTTGTTGACACGTTGCTGACACTTTGTTGACACGTGACCCAATTACCGGCCTACCAAGTGCCTTTGGCGACCGCTAACAGCAACTGTGGAACAGTGCAGTGCCCTTTTTTGGAGCAACGTACGAGTAGTGCCCGTGGATTATGACCCCGCGACCCCAATCTACGTGGCGGTCCGCAATTCGCTACTTCATACTGACTGGCGTCCGGCATCGTCCCGAATTTGGCCGCAATCTGCTCTCGGGACCCCTATAGGGCTCCCTGACCTGCTCCATCTCCGCCATCGTCAATGTACTGCGCATCCACCCAGGCCAGGACTGCACTTACTTACGGGAAGGAGTATTTGCAAGATGGAATCTGGGAACTGGAAGACGACGAAGAAGAAGCGTGGGAATCCGGCGGCAATGGCTGGGATGTAAGTCCAACATTGCTGGTGCTAGAGTTGCCACTGCTTGCTTTAATACAAGGGAAATGTGTGTTGCCTTTTGCCTTTTCCGACGTCCTCCTCCGACTGTACTCCCGATCCCAGGACTGAACTTACGGGAAGGAGTGCTTCCAAGATGGAAGACCAAGAAGAAGAAGCCGCTGAATCCGGCGGCAATGGCTGGGGTGTAAGTCCAACATTTCTGGTGCTAGAGTTGCCACTGCTTGTTTATAAGGGATTCACGTGTGTTGCCCTTTTTTGCCTTCTCCCATGTTCTCCTCCGACTGTACTGGTGAACGCTGTGACATATGTTGCCCTTTCCAGGCAGTAGAAGGGAGGGGCGGGGGGCAGTACATCCTGGCATCCAGGAATGCTAGGTGGAACTAGGCAATCTGACCTTTCCTCTTACTCCAATAATGGTATGGATGGGGAGTTCTTGAACATCCTCAGTCTTGTTAGAGTGAACTGTGCAACTCGGCAATCGGTGATAGCAGAGGACCAATGCCGATGGCGATGCTCCTTCCTTTTTCTCTGTCACAGGCTGCGGTCTCGAGAAGAAGCGTTATTTCTGCATTCCAAGAAGGACGGCACAATGGTGAGTGGAACTTCGTGGGTGTGCAGCCTTGCTAGTTGAATTGTAAATCAACCATTCTTCCTGTCTCTGACTTCTTCAATGTCCTCCTCAGTGTCGGACTGTCCGCGTCGCATTGAACTGGTCCGATGAGGCTGCTATTGCACACACAGTGAGGGAACTCCCATACGGGAACTCGGAAGTACTGCTACAGTACAGGTAAGGTGGTCATTGCTTATGTGGGTGCGCCGTTGTTGTCAACTTTTAAGCCAGATGTACTCCGACCTACATGGAGTCTGAAAGTAGTCAGCTGGCGAACTACAATTGAAGTTTAGACGTTATATGCCGCGGCTTGGTCAGCTTTTTCAGTTTCACAATGCATTGCACTCAGCACCGCTTCTCGGAATATCTTGTCAGGATAGCTGTGGAACGCATCCTCCCCAGTGGCGGAACGGCAAATGTGCTGTTCATTTTTAGGCTTGCTTTTATGGTACGTACAAATCCCCATTGAAAAGACATAGTGGAGACCAGAAACTGCAAATAGATGTTGGGAACCGCGAAGACCACCCTTCCTCGTCAAGTTCCCTGAGGGTGTGGAGGGGGGGGGGGGGCGGAGGAGGGACATTCCTGCACTGCTTAAAGTAGGATTCACAGGAGCATTTTCAGAAATTGCTTGTACATTTGTACCAGTTGTAACCGACAAACGCATTCTCATTGAGCTTTGACTTGAGGCACGTCAGCAAGGCACTGTTGCATCGCTGACGTCTTGTCGTGATTCTGTGAATGGTATTTTGTGCGAGTTTGCATCGCACGCAGAATCGCAGGTCGTCTCGCATTGCGCAGCACACTGCCAAATTGCTTCTGTGAATCCCACGTGAATGGGAATTCCAATGGGAATGTAATCCATTGCCAACAGGTGTATTCCCGAGCTGCGCATCATACTGCAAAATTGCTCCTGTGCATGCGAGTTTGCATCGCACGCAGAATCGCAGGTCGTGTTGCATTGCGCAGCACACTGTCAAATTGCTTCTGTGAATCCCACGTGAATGGGAATTCCAATGGGAATGTAATCCATTGCCAACAGGTGTATTCCCGAGCTGCGCATCATACTGCAAAATTGCTCCTGTGCATGCGAGTTTGCATCGCACGCAGAATCGCAGGTCGTGTCGCATTGCGCAGCACACTGCCAAATTGCTTCTGTGAATCCCACGTGAATGGGAATTCCAATGGGAATGTAATCCATTGCCAACAGGTGTATTCCCGAGCTGCGCATCATACTGCAAATTGCTCCTGTGCATGCAAATGGATTTCATTGCTCTTCTGTAGTTTGGGAAATTCTCGATTATGATAATTCTGCGTGTGTGTGTGTACACCAGCCCTGAACATACATGTAGGTGACCCATTTGTGGTGTCTCATAGCCTACCTCACGACCTTATGCTTTCTTTCTGTATCACTTGTATCTTGCAGGTATATCACCCCGTGACGACCACATCGAAGTCTGAAATTGAAGTGTGAAGATGCTTCAGCAACCCCTTCATATTTTTCCATTGCTTTTATTGTGCTTCTACTGTGCATGTGATGGCAATGTATGCCGGTGACACGGTCAGATTTTGTCCATGCGTGTAACGTACACCTGCATGCTATCGTTGAAAAGGATCTGCCACTTACGATCTTCGGACGAGTATCAGGTCAGCTTGGTTTTGTGTGGGCTGTACCAGATGCTGTTCACTTCTCTATCTGTTGGATATGTGACTTTCTGCAAGTTTCTGGTGTATGGTGGCCACTTCTTTGCTTGTCTTTGTATGACATTACAATAATTCTGTATTCACTGCTTCCATGGTGTGATCTGCAAACTGCAATCCTTAGGCAAATATCATCACGCTGCAATGTTGTGCTTTGGCCGCCAGCTTACCTACACATTGTAGTTGAATTATTTTTGTTTCACAACTGACTTCCTGAAGTATGGTGGCTACTGCTTTGCATGGCATTATACAATGTTCATCAAGAATTTCCTGTTTGGGTCGTGTGTGTGTGTGTGTGTGTGTGTGTGTGTGTGTGTGTGTGTGTGCACGGCTTCGCCAGTTGTGTGGATTAGACAGTTATCTGGCGCTTGTCTTGATCTGTTTCAATCAGAATCAGATCCGCTATCGTTGCTATAAAGAGAAAATCTGTGGGTGCACATCCAGTGCATTTACAGATTTGCGTGCTTCTCTTGCGACGGGCGTATACATGGTACATTGTGTGTGTGTGTGTGTGTGTGTGTGTGTGTGTGTGTGTGTGTGTGTGTGTGTGTGTGTGTGTGTGTGTGTGTGTGTGTGTGCGTGCGTGCGTGCCTGTGTGTGCCATGTGCATGTGCGTGTTTGTCACAATGTGTCTGTGTGCAGGGAGGGCTGGAATGTATCAGTGTGCTACTGCAGTCGCATGGCTACATACAGTGGATCGCGCGCGTGCTCACCATGTTTATCTTCGGAGCTGGGCCGGTATGGGGGAGGGAACAGAAAAAGAACTGAAATTACCCATATAAAAACCGCTCTCTGAGCGGTTCTGAAAAACCTCTACTGGTGCAGCCCCGTCGTAAAAGTAAGAAATTAGAACTGGCGCATTGTCCTCCCAAATGTGAACTGATCCACCTAAATCGCGATTGACGGGACCCGAACGCACCAGTAGCACGAGGTCGGGAGGGCACAGGATCACAGCCGGCGTCGGCGCTGATCAAGTTACCATACAACACTTACAGTACGTAGACCTACCCCGAAGCCCACCTTTGCCGCTTTGGCTTTGGCTATGGACCAGCGTCCCCAGCTGCATCCACAGGTAGGAACCTCGTGCTACTGGTGCGTTCGGGTCCCGTCAATCGCGATTTAGGTGGATCAGTTCACATTTGGGAGGACAATGCGCCAGTTCTAATTTCTTACTTTTACGACGGGGCTGCACCAGTAGAGGTTTTTCAGAACCGCTCAGAGAGCGGTTTTTATATGGGTATAATAATATACATGATTATACTCTTGTTAGCGGGCACTCTGCCTGTCTCGCTCTGGTTTTCACAGGGGGATTTCCCAAGTTGAAGATGATCACGCATGCGATCCAGGTTAGGCTGCAACCACACTACAGTCAGTTTCAAAAAGATTAGCAATCCTGGCCCGGGGAGTTTGCCGTCTTACCGTATGAGCGCTCGAGCGCTGCCTGATAAAACTCACTGTCAACTCGAAGAAATATTCCGCGCGAAAGCATGAAAAATGACAACTCACTCAGGTCGATGTCGGTACAGTCGTGTACGTCTGGTTCACAACAAACGAGTTCTTCCTCGTATCGATTATGGAGTCAGAGAGGACATGTCGAAAGTGTAGTAAATGCCAAGGCTGACGAGCGGCATGGGTCCGAATATGTTTTGTGACCGAATAGTTTCTTTGAGCTGCGATGCAATTTACTCTCACCATGTGACGAAAACGACATCGACACAGACTCATTCCCAAGGCCATGACTTGGCGAAGCTATCCGTATGACTTCGACAACATTTTGAGAAAAGCAGACACCTGTGGAAGCTGATAGAAGACGGCGTTGACTTCTAAATTCAAATAAATTGGCGATCTTGAAATACTAAAATAATTCTCAAAAAGAAATCGATCGATCGATGTGCCGGTGTATTCAACACGTAGCTACAGCGCAATGACTTCCGTATTCACTCACACCGTTTCAGTGTTGTGGGTGTGTTCACATGGCGTGATCCAGTCAAGTGTCAGTCAGTTCGGGAGGAAGCGGGAGCTCCAACAACAACAATCGTGAACAACAAGTCTGCTTGATCACCAAAAAACAATGAAAAAAAAGTGTGAGTTGAAGATAGGTTGGGCGGGTTTGAACTCACAACTAATTACTTCATGGTCAGCAGACAGCATCCATAACCACAAGGCCAGAAAGGAAAAGATAAATCGTGGGTTTTGATAGAAAAATCGATACTGGCTTCCAGGGCAAATTGCAAACCATGGGAAAAGGCCGGAAACCTGGCCGAAATTCTAACTCCTTAACGGCTTGTCCAATTGTTCCGAAACCGTCACAGAACAATTTGCCGTGCCCTAACCAGCCCTTTTATGTATTTCGTTGTCCAATTTTCCCTTATCTTCATACTTTTTAAGACCAAAACCTGATTGCTAATCTTTTTGAAACAGACTATAGGTACAAAATCACGTACAAACGGCATTACAGTAGAAATCGTCATGCCGACGCGTCCGAAATGCAAAATGCGCTTTGTAGGTTTTCAGCAACTGGCGCACCCCTGTAGAAAGCCACGTTTGTCGTTTTCGTCGTTTTCGAGCTCCTTCTGCTGTGTACAACTTTGCTTTTATACCGGGTCATCGTACATAGCATCAGCATCAGCATTGTTTTTGAATTATTTCCCGGTCTTTTCCAGCGCATGGCACGTGCTTTGGTACGACAACGTCACGTGCTGGTCGCGTGAAAACGTCATCTATGCAGACCGAAAAGTGTAGTGTGGTGGCGTACCGACTTGTACTGTGATATGCATGAAAATTTGTACTGTGATTTTTACGTAGTGTGGTTGCGGCCTAATTAGGCTGCAACCACACTAGGTACAAAATCACGTACAAACGGCATTACAGTAGAAATCGTCATGCCGACGCGTGCGAAATGCAAAATGCGCTTTGTAGGTTTTCAGCAACTGGCGCACCCCTGTAGAAAGCCACGTTTGTCGTTTTCGTCGTTTTCGCGCTCCTTCTCCTGTGTACAACTTTGCTTTTGTACCGGGTCATCGTACATAGCATCAGCACCAGCAGGGTTTTTGAATTTCCCGGTCTTTTCCAGCGCATGGCACACGCTTTGGTACGACAACGTCACGTGCTGGTCGCGTGAAAACGTCATCTATGCAGACCGAAAAGTGTAGTGTGGTTGCGTACCGACTTGCACTGAGATATGCATGAAAATTTGTACTGTGATTTTTACGTAGTGTGGTTGCGGCCTTTTAGTACCTGATGTGGTCCATGTAGTATACGGTACATGTAGATTAGAATATCCTCTACTGTATCTTGTTGTACTGGTGCGGACATTCAGCACGAACACTTATGAAAAGGTTGCAGATAAGAAACACAGAGTCATGGTAATCCCGGCCACCGCTTTCAACCACCAGTGCCACCGCCAGCACTTAGAAATGTATCACAAATTCACAATCATGAATGAATATTAGTCCGAATACAGGTGTCGGGCGGGGAATACTGAACAGGGAGAGAGAGAGACAGTGTGCACATTGTCCAATGCTGACGCAGTGCCAGCTAGTCAGAAGCACCAGTAGAATTGTAAACTAGTATATGTGCAGTGCTGCACGCTCGTGGAGTGATGCTGCAGTTAGCTGAGTTAGCTGATCTGGTCAAGTCTAGACCATCCATGCATGATTAATGATTATCTTACACCACACACGACTTGTAGAAAAAGGATAAAAATCTATACAATTACGTAACTACGTAAAATGAACTCTGCCTCTGGAGAGGAATTAGGGAATGAGATTCACTATCACACTAAAAACGTATATTCTCCCTAAAACAGGAACGAATTTTAAAATTCATTAGACACTGGATGCTATTTACTTAGATAAATAATCATGTTTTGGAAAAAAGAAGGCGTGTGCGGGGAAGAAGGGGGGGGGGGGCACGGTTCAATGTGCTGCTAACAGAACGACAGCCATGCTCCTAGCACGGCCAGGATTACCTTCACGGCGGCTTTCCAATGCACTCGCAGGGCTTATACCTCCACCGCATTGTCGTCGTCGTCCATATTGACAGAGAACAGGCCGTCATCTGTGGCACCGTTAAAGCTGGACACCGTGGCATCGACGGGAATACTAAACCCTTCAGGCGGTGCACCGTCACTGCAGCTATCCACATCATCCACGTCATCGCCATCGAGGAACCGCACGTGTAGGTTGGTTCGACGGCTGGAGTTGCCGGACAAAGATGACCTTTGGCCGCGGTTACCAGATCCTGCAAGGGCAATGCACATAATACTCATCTACTGTATAAGTACAAATTTTCGTTCACGAAATCTTTCGTTAGATCACTCCACCAGCAGGCTTGTTACGTACTAAATTTCGTTTTTCGTTGAGGTCTGTCACCCCAAACGTTCAGAAAAAACCTTAGTTTGGCACAAACTTTAGTTATTTCGTGCCCCTACGAGCTGAGCAGTCATTTCACAAAGGCTTTATTAAGTTCAAAACGAGTGGATATGAAGGCGGTAAAGAACAGGGGAGGAGAAATAAATGTGATATGGAAGAAATTTCAAGAAATGATGAAAAAAAGTATACTTCGAACTCGTGTTCTGTCTCTGTCTCTCTGTCTCTCACTCACTCTCTCTCTCTGTCTCTTTCTCTCTGTCTCTCTGTCTCTCTCCGTCTCTCTCTCCGCCTCTCTCTCCGTCTCTCTCTCTCTCTCTCTCTCTCTCTCTCTCCGTCTCTCTCTCTCTCTCTCTCTCTCTCTCACTCACTCTCTCTCTGTCTCTTTCTCTCTGTCTCTCTGTCTCTCTGTCTCTCTCCGTCTCTCTCTCCGCCTCTCTCTCCGTCCCTCTCTCTCTCTCTCCGTCTCTCCGTCTCTCTCTTCGTCTCTCCGTCTCTCTCTCCGTCTCTCCGTCTCTCTCTCTCTCTCTCTCTCTCTCTCTCTCTCTCTCTCTCTCTCTCTCTCTCTCTCTCTCTCTCTCTCTCTCTCTCTCTCTCTCTCTCTCTCTCTCTGTCTCTCTCTGTCTCTCTCTCTGTCTCTCTCTCTCTGTCTCTGTCTCTGTCTCTGTCTCTCTCACTTTGGTACTTTGATCCGGTATAAAATGCCTTATGATTCAGTACACCTCATAGCGATCGGTTTAGCCCGTAACTCTGAGCTCCGCTGATGAGAACTAACAAGGTGGAAACAGCTAGCTGTCCGCAGATAGAGCGAGGCAGTATACACATATAATACAGGGATGAATTTATCCTGTATCGCATCGCAATTTGCGAGGCGAAATCGATCTACTGCTACTCAAAAGTCACCGTGACTCGCAGAAAACTGCGATACATAGAGTAACATGCATACAGTGCAATGTATGTGGTGCAGGTACTCTCAACCTGGGTGAACCTGTATGCTTCAGTCGTTTTCTGCAAATGGGCTTTCAGGCATCACTATCAACAAGGACAATCTGGTAAACACCCAACCTTCAAAGAACAAATGCTAATCAAAATCAAAGACTGCTACACAATTGTGATTTTGTATAGCAGAAACTGCTATGCAATAATATGACAGTAAATGCATCCCTGTAATAGTAAAGAACTGAAAAGGACCTCAATTCACTAGTTACGTGTCCTTATCCACCTATTCACTGCCAGGATCGAGTCACTATAATTACATGTACATTATTCTTCATCTTTCATTGTGTAAAATTTAAACTCGGATACTGAGCCAGTAATAAAATGTAATAAAGAGAAGAAACACATGAGAGCGAGTTATGCAGCAACTATCCACGACTGTAACAAGATGATAAACGGTCAGAAAGTGCAATAGGGCACAAAACTGACAGGCTACTGAGACATTCAGCGACCCGAGACCTAGCTCTAACACATCTCCAGTGCGCAAACCAACAGCCTTCCAACTTGGAAGGTTCATGGTTACGTAGGACCAAAGAGGGGAAGGTGAGCGCAACGAAAATGTGCACAAGCTAAGTCCCGCGGCAACAAAGAATGCCGACTGTTACAGGACGATGACGAGACCAGTTAATAACATGACAATGCGGTCTAACTACACTGTGTTAGAGCTAGGTCTCGGGTCGCTGAATGTCTCAGTAGCCTGTCAGTTTTGTGCCCTATTGCACTTTCTGACCGTTTATCATCTTGTTACAGTCGTGGATAGTTGCTGCATAACTCGTTCTCATGTGTTTCTTCTCTTTTTTTTAACTTTCATTGTGTGCGTTCGATTTTTCCCACGAATTTATTTTAACTCCATTCACGAATCACTCCTGGCTATTCTCATCACCCCATGTGACTGGGATGAATGGATTACGAACCGATTCCAGGGCTTGAATGGGTGAGATTCCATTCATG